TTTGGCGACGTTAATAAAATTAATTATTTTTGTTATTATTTCTTAGAAATATACGTCTTTAATAAAAAGTATAATAAAATAAAAATAATTTTTTAAAGAGAAATATAAAAATATTTTATTACTTTTAATAATAATAAATGTATTGGATATACTATTAAAAAATATTTTCTTTTATTAAATTATTTTATAAGTATCTTTATAAATCTGCGTAAATATGGTTTTAAAATTATCCAAAATATTAAATATAACTTTTTTTTCAAAAAATTTTATATAAATAAAATTAATATTATATTTAATTTATTTATATAAGTATTTAATGTTAATATATATTAGATTTATATATTTTGGTTTATATTTAAATATTTAAACGAAATGTTATTTGGTAATTGAAAGCTAATAGTATGGCTTATTTATAGATTTAATTTAAACTTTATTAAAATATTTTGGGGTTATTATTTTAATATTTTAAATGTTAATAAAATATTTAATAATAAGGATTTAATGGTTTATTAATTTTTTCGATAAATATTTTTAAATATTATAATTAAAATATTTAACGTTATTAATTTAAAAATTTAAATTAATTTGGATATTAATTTATTTAATTATATTAAAAAGAATAAAAGTATAAATAAAAAAAAGGATAAAAAGAAAAAAAATAAGAAAAAAAAGGCGGTAATTTATAATAAAAACTTACGCGCAAAGACCATAAATATATTTGATGGAATATACCACAAATAAAGATTTAATAATATTAAAATTAATAATTTTATATAAAAAGAATTTAAAAATAAAAAAAAGTTGGTAATTTTTAAAAATAAGGTAAAAAAATAAATTAAATCTTTAATAATATTTAATAATATTCTATTATTTGACTTATTTAAAAGATTAATAAAAAGACTTCGAATTTTTAAGCTTGAATTAAAAGATGATATATTTAATTAATAGTTTTTAATAATTATAAACCTAATAAAAACTAAAAGAAATACTTTTAAATATTTAAAAGTATCAATATTTATTTTTATTAGCTTAATTATATTAATTATTGGCCATAATTATATTACACTAAAACATTACTTAAAAATAAATACCTTAAAATTATAATATAATGTTATAAATTAAATTAATAAAGTTTTTATTATAATAATTTATTATAATATTGTAATTATTAAAATATTTACTGTAAAAGTTAATATAATTTTTAATATAAACCTCTTTACCCTAAATTAAATTATATCTAATATTGCTTAATTTTTAATAAAATATAATTTAATTAATTTATTAATTAATATTTCTGTTAGTAATAATATTAAAATCTATTTAATAAAATATTATTCTAATAAGATCCATATAAATATACCTAAAATTCATACCATTAAAAATATTTATAATAAGGTTAATAACTACTATTTACGTATATTTTAACGTTTTATCCGTTATTATAATTAAGATTAATTAAATTATTTTTTAAAATTATTTAGTAACGTAATAAAATAAAATACTAATATTACATTTATTTCTTAAAATAATAATATTATATTAAATAAGAGTATAAATTTTATAAAATAATTAAATTTTTTTATATTTAAATATTAAAAAAAATATTATTAATTAATATAATAATTTATTATATTAATTATTTTATATAAAATATAGATATATTAAATAAGAAATTATAAAAAAATAATAACTTATTTTAATTTAAAAGGTTATAATATTATATTTTTTAAATATTAAAATAAAATATATTTATTTTAATTATATTTAATAGGAGGTATATCTTATATATTAATTTATTATAAATTAAATTATTAAAAATTTAAATATATAAGTATTTTAATATTTTTTAATTTAAAATTATTAAATATTATAATTATTTCTTATTATTATTATTATTAAAATAATTGGTATAAAATATATATGAAGATTTAATCATATATTCTATATTATACCTTTATAAATATAATTACAATACTATATAATATAGATTATATAATAAATAAATTAATAGATATTTAAATATATTATTAAAATTATACATTTTAACTTTTAAAGATTTAAATATATATTTAATAGAAAATATTTATTTTTATTATATATACAAATAAATAAGCCTTATTTATTTAAGGTTTTTTTTTTATTTTTTTTTTAATAATATAATAATAATAATATTAAAAATAATATTAATTAAACGTTTAATAAAATTGTTTATTAAATAATATAAAATATAAATTACGTTAATAATTTTTAAATATTGGCCTTATAATATAATATTAATATAATAATAAATTATAAATTTTTAAACGTTTTTAATATAAGGTTAAAAGGTTACGATATAAATCTTAAATATAACTAATAAATAGTAATTTAAATATTATGTTTTATTATAAATTGGTTAAAAAAGAAGATTGCTAATTGTTTAAATTATATATTTTAAGAAATTTATAATATTTATGCCGATTATTTAAGGATAGAAATTATTTATAATATAATATTTATAAATATAAATCTTACGTTTTAATATATTATTTATATAATTAAAACCAAAATAATTTTAAAAATTTAAAAATAGTTTAAGTTTTTAGTAGTAATTTTTAAAAAATTGTAGTTTTTTTTTAATAAAATATAGGATTAATTTAATAAATTTATTATTTAAACAATATAAAAAAATAATTGGAAAATATTTAAAAAAATAAGTAAATTTATATTATTATATAAAATATGTAATAATTATATTATATATATTTGTAAATTTTTAAATAAATGGCCAAATATTGATTAATAGATTATAAATATTTTTTTTATAAATTTTATTTTTATTTATATAAATAAGGTAAATAAATGTTAGATTTAATAGTATAATTGTAATAATATTAATAAATAAGATATGTTTATAAAGAAAAGCCATGGTTAAATATTATAGTATTTTTTTATTAATAAAAGGTAAGGTTTTTATATTTTTTAATTAAATAAAAGTAAAATTATTTTACTATAAATTTTTATTAAATATGTTATATATTTAATTAATTAATGGTTTTAAAATAATTTTTTAATTATTATTTTAATAAATAAAATATTAGATATTATTAATTATATTATATATAAATGGTTTGATAAAATAATTAAGTTAAATTATTAAAAACGTAAATTATTTTTAATAAGTTTAAATATAAATTTAATAATTATATTATAGAATTAGATGGATAATTAAATATGTAATAAAAATTAAATAAGTAACGATAATAAATTAAATGATTATTATATTTACAATAAATTAGAAATATATTAATAAGTAATTTTAAAAGAGTTTTTTAATAATATTATTAAAAATATACTTAATTTATTATATAAAATAATTAATAAAAACGGAAATATAATAAATGTTTAATTAAAATATTTAATTATTAAATAATTAATAATTATTATAAATATAATAATTATTAAAAATATAATTATATTTGAAAATATAATGGTTAATAATTTTAAATAAATTATATAACGGTTATATTTTATTAATAATTATTATAAATATAATATTTATTAATAATATAATTATATTTAAAAATATAATAGTTAATAATTTTAAATAAGTTATATAATAGTTATATTTTATTAATAATTATTATAAATATAATAATTATTAATAATATAATTATATTTAAAAATATAATGGTTGGTAATTTTAAATAAATTATTTAATAATTATAATAATATAACATAAGTTTTTATAATAATAGTAAAAAATTACGTAATAATATTTTTTTATATAATAATAAACAGTTTAAATAAGTAGGATAATAATTTAATTCTTATAATAATATTTTTAATAATAATGAATTCTTTAGGGATAATACGCGTGGTGGGGGTTAATGAGAATTATGTTTTAAGGGGTGGGACAATGGTTTAACACGCATATAATAGTTCCACCCCACCATAATTTCCCGCTATGGTAGGTACGTACTATGTTTTATCTACCTTGTCTAAGGTACATGTAAGTTTAGGTATCTACATGTAAGTCATAGCATAGAAATTAATCCACTAATTCAGCCTTGATTCAGTCTCCATTCTTACATATGCCTGTATATCGGGTATCGAGCATTAAGACGCAACTATTAGGTACATGTTAAATTGGATCCTTAGAAAACGAATAGCTCACCTTTTTGGATCACCAAGTTTATCTAATAGGTATGTACATGGGTCACGCAAATCAAACCTATCACGACGAGCGAACTTATACCCTAGACCCAGCCCACCGGCCATAATCTCGACGCAAGGCTGGTGTACCGTTAATACACTATTGATAATAGATATACCGGCCCAACCCATAGCCTATTACAGCATAGCACAGAATGGGATTAGGAATACAACATCACATCTGAATATAGCTTACGAAGATAATATGGGTGTGATATGATCAAGTTGGTATTATTAAGTTATGACATAACAGCTAAAGTCCTCAAGGCATTTTCCTCGCCTACCATAACTTTGATCTCGAGGTCCAATATATATCTAATATGTAGCTTTAGATCGAATCTATACCGTCCGTACCTCTCCCGTACTCCTGAGCTTTAGTAATCTCAATGGGATATCGCAAATTCACTCGTGTGCCCTTCGTCTACCCCATCATTATCATCGTTCCTAGCACCGTCATTCTCGTCGCCCATAGAACCCATTACTAAACGCTTCGCAAATCCTTATAAGTGCGAGCCGACCGTTGTCCTGTAGAACTAGCTCGGCGTAACTAGCCGGACGGGCCGATGGCTAAATGGAGTTGTGATGCATCCAGATGTAGAAGATTCGGGGGCCACCAAATTTAACTCGTTCATGAATGTGTCGCGAAGTAATGCAACATTCATATTGACGAACGGTAACCCTATCGTATTATCCTCTCTAACGTGCCATATATTGGTTCGAGTAGGTCGAACACTGACTAGAGATCGCGCTCTCATAAGTGAAGTAGCAACGCCAGCGTATGCTTTCAGGAGTTGACCCACGAAGCCTTATATGATGCTATGCTTCTTGAAAATCCTCTTTAACGAGTCACTATCAAAGTCCTCATCGTCAGGGATCATGTCGATAATGCCCGTCAGGTTGGCAAACAGGTCGCCTTGGTTCCGGTATGCAAGGACTGTGGGTACGGCGGCATTGTCAAATTCTATGTCTTCGTAGTGGACCTTGACAAAATGTATTTCGGGATGAGAAGTGACTAGTGATCGTAGTGCTGACTCAATGAGACCTGATACTTGACACTGTTTATCTTGATTAGTACACACTCGTATAAGTAGCTGTAGGGAGGAAATGGCTAACCTCGTGATCGTAAACGAATACTACCACAACAGTATCTCTTCCCACCCTCTCGATAGCATCCAAGTATCCTAGTGCGTCGACACTATCAAAGCGACCGAACATTCTCAGGCTTGGGCTTGTTCTTCGGGTGCGAATGCCATTTGTAGCCTCCTTCTCGAGCTCCTGTCTCCGCGTCTCCCGCCATTGTTGTAGAAAGCTATCCTCGTCTTCATCATCTTCGCTGTCACCGCTATGTGAGCCAGTGGAACGAGCCCCTTCTCCCTTTCCAAATACTGATTGGCGAGCAGCACGAACTCTGCTTCGCCACTTGTTCTGACGGGCTTGTTCATAGGCACGGGCATCGGCAATGACGCCCTTCACACCAGTACTATGGCCCGAATTGAAGCTTGCCGGTGGCAGCTTTACATCGCCTGTTAAACTAGGGGCGCGCATGGCAGCTTCTATCTGTGCGTTGCGATAACGGTCTTCTTCGTCTTCGTCTTCGTCAGAATTCTCGCCCTCTCTCCGAGCGTCGTCACGATCTTCAGGGTGTACACGTGAGCCGTGATCGGTGTTCTTTTCGAGGAAATCTTGAAATTCTTCCTGGGCAGGAGTAGGATTATTGTTTACGTTTGCGGATGTAGAGGTCATGATGGGCGAGTAAAAGACGAGAGGAGGGGGTGGGAGGATTGATATATGTGATAGGTCTTGGTCGGTATGGGCGAGACCACGAGGTAAGACAAGGAAGATTCAAATAGACAAGGAAGCCTGTCCTGGGGGAGGGATGTGGATGGTGTGGATGTCGTAGGGTTTTGGTGGGAGGAAAGAAGAAAATAGGACAGGATAGGCTGATGTACACCGCAACGATCCAACTTTTCTAAAAGAAGGGATGAGCGAGGGTTAGTAACGTTGGCAAGGTTGGCAGGGTTGGCAGGGTTGTTAAAGTTAAGGTCTTGCATGGAATGCAAGGACTAAAAAAAAGGAATGCTTCTGGAACAATGCCTAAAATCGACTAATAGGAAGGAAGAATAGGAAGAACCAAAAGAAAGGAGTTACGGAGGAAGGACTGCGGCATGCGTCAGAATGTTTCAGACGCCACAAAATAAAGCCTATTAGGTCTAGCCTCTATGTAATCGAGCAGCACGCTATGTTAGAGAATATGTATGGCTATGTTTTTAGGTTCCACTAACCATGCAACTTTGTTTATAACTAACTAACTAGCGTCGAATGGTCTAGTTCATCTTTTTTTTTTTTTTTCGCAATATGTCTTATACCAACTGCCAAGGTAGATATTTAGTTACTTGAGTATTGAATATGCTCAATAACGATTAAACGACCGATTATATACCTACTAATCGTTCCCATTATTACTACGAACATGTGGAAGGAAGGCGTGGCGAAATGAAGAGGACAATTGCACCGCCGAGCCGTACACGTATACACGTCCGCCGGATTGGGATGCGGCGTTGCGTGGTGTCAATACGATGCTTAGACAAGGATTAAAACGTGGAAAAAAAGGGAACATGGGGTTAGTTGGAACCATCGATACATTGTCAGGTTTTTTTTTTTCTTTTTCTTTTTTTTTCTTGCAAACTACCTTGTCTCTAACACCATACCAATAGTTCTACCTACTAAATATTCCCTTGCTTATAACATATAGCATTGTTTGATATGATGAATACTACATTATACGGTTTGCTAATCAAACATGGTGCGGAGAATAAGAAAGTTGCTACGTGATGCGAGATAATGATGACGATATGGGTGTTGATCCGAAGAGCAATAGTTCGTATTTACTTTTGATGGACCTTCCAACAGTATTGTGTCTAGTGTTAGGTACCTATGTAAATGCAAAAACGAGCTGGGGAATGCCAGCCATCTACGTCATATTGTTATTGTCCGCGAAGGGACGCTATTCTAAGTTCGATCCGTTCTAATAATAAAACGTCCGTTGCGACTTGCAAGCGATGAACCATCTAATCTTCTAATCCGAGAAAATATCGAGAGAACGGTTATTACATAAAGCGCAGAGTAAGGAACACCATTTCCTGTATGGCAAGACGCAAATATCCAACGTAGTACCAAAGTGCAAATAGCCTAATGAGAAAAGTTGAAAATTTGTTACAAAGTTATGAAATACTACGAAAGTGAACCCCTAACGGCATGTTCTACCTATCATCTGATATCTAAGCGAATAAGGTGAGGAGGATCATATTCAAGGCTCCGATTTCATTGCCATTGTTCTAAAGTCCGATAAACTCATTGTTGACGGAATATTTCTAGAACTTCGATATCTGTTAGATGGGAGGCATTAGGTTAGTTGACAAAGACTAAGTTACTAGTTCAGGGGCGATAGCAAAATGGAACCGGGGTATAAGTGGAAAAGGGGGCTGCCTTGCCTAAAAATAACTCCAATCTTGTTCATGTCGGCTATGCCGACGCCGTCTTATAGCTTGTCCAAAACTAGCAGTACGACCTTTATAGTTAACTCACTACCGTCCACGCCGAGGACAACTGTTCATCTTAACAGGACAATGCGTCATGCACGACATTTACGACGTCGTACTATGCTAAGTTGGGGCTGCCTTGAGGAGCTTCTGTCATCCGCAGATCTTGCTAATAGATAACCGAGATCTGAATCTATGGCTCTATGTGCGGATTGGAGTCTGGAGAAGGTTCGAGACCCTCTTTGTCCATTGGTATGTTGAATATCTCAACTTACTAGCGTCTTGGTGGTCCGGTCAAGGTTCTAAGCCGACCCCAGCAGACTAATATAGGCATATATATATTTGTTATAAATTACTATTTCTTACCACAGGTGTAGCTGTAGCCACGACGCGATATCGCTATTTCTCTTAAAATGATAATTAGCGACAGGGCAATCCTATTTACGGTGTAAAACTTCCCACTGGTTCGAATGTAGAGGGGCCTTCCTCACGTAGTAATAAGTGCCGGTCCTTAACTGAATTTTTATTGGCCAGAAGGTTCGTCTGAAGTTGGTTGGTATTCCAGGAGGTACATATCATCAGGTAACTCGTATGTCCCTAGAATTGAACTCAACGTGGATATAGACATGTTAAATATTTCGACTAACTAGGTAAATATATGGACGACGTGCCACGACGTTCGACTGCGTAACCGAGGTGTGTATGCTTGTTACCTTAATAAAGCTCTAGTTCATCTATAAGTTCCTAATATAGTATGGCATTTGATATAAACCTATTGCTTTCCAATAATTTATATCTAATTCTCAGTATGGTGGATTTCCCGCTTGTCACGAGGTGGATCTATAAGGCGTGGATATAACTTTGTTGTTCCACGAGGAACCTTTGTACTGTTTTCAAGATGGTATTTCGTAAGTATTTCTATAGTCTTGATTTGTAGATATCAGTGCAGTGTATACCTATTTCTCGCCGGCACTTGAGGACATAAGCGATCTAGATTATCTCATAATTACGAACGTCTCCCTTTAGTATACTGTATTGCTTAGGATACGGGCGAGGGGCAAGTACTTATACAACCATGCTGGAGCACAATGAGCTACGAACCTACCTAAAGTAGCCGAGACAAAATCACCAATCAATATAAGAGCTCTTTATTTTAGGCATCTCAGCGGACCAAGGTTCCGGCAGTGTCATCTATGAGGCCAAGGCAGCATCAGGTATGCTGCTTGGCCTATCATCCTCTCTTATTAGGTACAAGGCTTTGCTAGGCTCCTATATGTCGGTCATAAATCACTAAGAAAGCGTTTAGAGCAAATAAGTCATAAATCGTACTGACAGAAAAAAAGACATTAGTTCCTAGAGGATGTAAGAGACAAGCTGGTGACAAGCGTATTGTGTTATCAGTATCTATTTTCCCTATACCCCAGATCACACCCCGGATTCATATACACCTAGGACTAGCCACAGGAGTCTTAAAGCTCAACCTTGCAAATACATAATGATAGATGACGATACCTAAGTGACGTAGTTTTAAGATAAAGGACACCCTTCTAACTACATCACCTCTCTGTCAGTTATGTCGTCACCAGTTAACATCTGTTTCGGAAAATAACCTACAAAATATACGAGGTAATAGTGCTCGACTCGGAGATAACAAGCGCGACCAAATGCCCAAATGACGAGCCATAACAGTCATTTTATTAAATTGCAAACCCTCTCTGAATATCGGCGGCATTAAGACGACTGCCAATCAGCGCAGACGAGTAACGTATAAGCTCCTAGTTGATAGAGACATGGGCTGTATCTACGTAATATTAGATGGCCCTTAAACAAGCAGAGTCTCATTAGACCATAACCTCTAATCACTATCGACACATATACTATAAATTGTTTACCTGATATAACATCTACCTTAGGACCAATCCGGTATCCAGTTGCGTGAAGGAGCTATCCGAAGAAACATATCACCAAGTAATAGGATAGCATGATAACTTTGGACACCAAATTAGTTTGGATGATTTCAGCGTTCAGTATGACATGACTATGGTACAGACAGTAAGGGAAGAGCCGGTACAATGCCGGATGCGAATGTGTTCATCTTGCCCCTACTTCATTCAGCTGCACCTAGCCGACTCGATTTCCCTGGTACTGAGGAAGGATACGCCGATAAGAGACGACCTCTAAGAAACACCCGCAAGATGACCAGCCACCACGAAAAACCCAAACACTGCACATCCTCCCCCTTCCACTGGACTTAGTAAATAGGTCACCACACTCAAGTGATTTTTCCTTTTATCCACAGAAGAAAAAAATACCAATCAATACCTCCCCTCCATCTACTATAGTGATATCAGGGGCGGGAAAAGGCAATAAACAGGAATCAAGTAGACGCGCAAGAATTGTTTTTGTTTCCGGGTGAAAGCCTTTTTTTCATATCAACATGCCTCCATAAAGGGGGAGAAGACTGTATCCGTGTATCGAGTCGCCGAAATTTTCGAACTGAATCATAAGGGAAGCAAAGCCCAAAGGTTCAAGAAGAAGCCCAATCACCATACCGCATCTTCGTCTTGTAAATCGAGGTGTCCGGTGCCTAGCTTCGAAGAATAGAGGTCGAACCGAGCGTTGTAAATTATTACCAATCAAGTCCGAGGCGGTATATTAGCAGACTAGCTGACATATGCGAATTGGGTAGAGAAATATGATATTATGGAGGTATCTAAAAGTGAACAGGGCCGGGAACTATACACTCCCTTGGCCCCTCGGTCGGCAGCGGCGAACAGTAGTCCGGTGGGAATCGAGTACAACACAGGCCAGTAAGGAAAATAGTTGCTGGAAAAGGCTGTCGTGACTTCGTCCTGATAGCATCGAACCTGAACGATTCGTCATGCATGACAGGTTGAAATTAGTTCAAAATATTCGTCTTAAAAAGGGAGAGCGACAGCTACGCGAGTAATCCACGTAACAATGCTTCATCTCGACATAGATCTCCATCTAGTATGCCCAGATTTTGAGCTGTTGAGTGTTAGCGTATTCCGAGCCCGCTCAAAATGCAGGTGACAAAAACTTACCACAGAGTCCCAAGAGCCGGTGCACAGGCTGATACCGTCGTTGCTAACGCCCAGACAGCTGACACGGTTCTCGTGACCTACGAGAGATCCGACCTTCTCTCCTCTGGTGACATCCCATACCTAAAAACCGTTAGCCAATATAGCTTAATTGTAGTGGAATAGATAAATATATACCTTGCATTCGAAGTCATCATATCCAGCGAACAGTAGGCGACCAGAAACAGAAGTGGCGACAGACGTGATACCACATAGAATGGATTCAGACTATTATAATATTAGCATTCGTTAGGTCAGAGTTATCTCGCCTCAGCCACTTACCCCGTAGAGATTGAGTTCCCTATCTGCTCGAATATCAAACAGTCTGCACGTCGCGTCGTCGGATCCTGTTACAAATGAATGGCCATCTGGGAAGAATTGGATGGCATTGATATCAGACTCGTGACCAGCGAATGTCTGCACGGCCTTGCCGGCACGGATATCCCATAGCTTCGCGAATGCGTCGCAAGCGCCGGATATGAAAGTGTTTTGATTCGTAGGGTTTAGACTAATGCTCATGACATCGCCTAGATGGTCGGCAAATTCCATAACCTTTGTTCCGGTCTCGATATCCCACTTCATGCAAGTCATGTCACCAGACGAAGTAAGGATGCTCCGGTCGTTAATGAATCGGCAGCAAGATAGATAACCAGCATGACCAGATAGCTCACGAGCTACGCGTGTCGGTCCATCTCGGTTCTGGTTGAGATTATAGATGGAGCAGATGTTATCGAGACCACCGCAGGCAACGTAATTGCCGCTCGGTGCGTAAGCGCAGGTCATAACCCATGATGACCGTAAGGGGATGGCGTGGACTTTGTTCGTCGTATACGCATCCCAAATGATTAACTTGCCATCTTGTGAAGCTGATACTAGATGTCTTCGGTCGGTCGACCAGTGCATGGCGTATATCTTCGCCAAGTGTCCCTTTAGTGTCCTCTTTGTCTTCATTAATTGATTTCGGGGAATTGCTTCGTGAGATTGCTGTGCCACGGCGCGGACTAAAAACGACGGACATAAGTGTTAGAATGATGCGCATCAAATTTATTGCAACGCGTTTGCAAAGCTGGAGATGATTGTCAATTGATGGACAAGAATAACTCACGAGTAGTATCGGCTAATTCATCCTTCTTTCGCTTGATCCTATCCTTCAAGTTCTCAGCCTCGCGTCGCGCCTGCTGAATGCGCGCCTGCATGGCCTCGGGCGACACATCGTTCGGACGTTGCGAGTCCATAGCGGCCGGCAATGGATGTGTGTCAAGGAGAGAGGACCAAGGAGCAGCGAGAGAATTTGATGGACGGTGATGGACGACGGGTGTCGTCAAGCGGTGTGGATAGAGTTGATTTGGAGATCGCGAATAGCGTAGAGGACACCGAAGGGGGTAAAAAAGAGAGAAAAGGTGTGAGGTTGGAAATCAACTCGGGGTAAGGGTGAGGAGGGAAGACAAGCTCCAGGGGGGTCCTTGTCGAAATGCTCTGACCAGTATTAAAAGGGTTAAAAATCAAAATAAAATAAAGCTCCGGCTAGGCCACACTCGGAGATGTAGTAGAAGAGATTGACTTAATTGTCAGGGCGAAAGAATGAGAAAAGTGTGGAGAGGACAGGATTTCAGCGTGCTAAAAGGAAGTCAAGTCAAATGGATTTAGTTGCGTAAGTTGTAAGATAGTAAAAAAAAAAAAAGACACTGGCCTTCAGATTTGGAGATCGAGAAAAAAAATTATAATAATCAAGGCAAGACAGGAAAAGACTAGAAGGAAGGCAGCGTCTAGCAATCTGGAAGGAGTAACAAGTGCTGTAGGCTGTAGGCTGTAGGAGTAGGAGCAGGAACAGGAGGTAATGAAGGTAAGGTAAGCTACCTAAGTTAAGTCTAAGTACCCGGAGATAGCGCATGTACATGCATCAAAATATATGGGGACCTAGGTGTACTTATTTGTATGTATGCTGGTACTGCAATTCTAATTCCTCCTTGTCATTCTTGCTATTCTCCCGCCTATTCCAGGGTATGCATATGTATATTTGGCATGGTTAGGTACATTAAGTAGCATTCATTTGCGTACCCGTTTATGTACCGTTCTATGTACAAACTAATGCAGATCGCACCGCCCGAACAAACATTGATATTTAAAGTAGATTACCCACATAGCATATGTACCTTAACCTATGTACATAGTGGAAAGACCATGTACAATGTCTCCTTTCATTTACATCAATATTTACATACTGCTGAATAGGTAATAGTACCTAATGTCCACTACGACCTTCTGTTGTCTTGGTCTCACTAGACGGTAATAACAGTGATTGCAAAGGAGGGAAAAACCATTCTAGCATAAATATATATTTATATATATATATACGTAGGTAGTGTTCGATGTGATAAGCAACGTGCAACCACAAAATACCGAGCAATGTAGTGAGTGTAGGTATGTAAGATTCAGAAATGCATGGTACGGACAGTTTAAATAATTTCAATAACTCTAAAGACACAGTATAAATCGATTAAAAAAACAGCATATCCACTTTCACGTAAGATAGCCAGATATGCACCCATTTACCTAATTTGTATTAAGATTAACATTGCACCTTAATAAAAATATAATTTTACTTAATCGTATTTTATTTAATTAAATTTATTACTTATATTTAAATAAATAAAAATAAATAAAAATAAATAAAAATAAATAAAAAATATTAATTTTTTATAATTAAATCTAATATATTTAAAAGTTTATATAATTAATTAAGATAATACAAAAGCCAAAATTATTAATTTAATTAATTATATTAATTTTGCCATTAATTTTACTGTTTTGTAAACCGTTAAAAAAGTATAATAAATATTTGTTATTATTAAATTACAAGTTGTTAAAATTATTAAAAAAGCTTCGAAGATTATTATTAATAACCTTATAAACCTTATAAGTTATAAAGGTTAAATATAATACTAAACTTTACTAACGTTAAAACTAACAATAAAAGTATTATATATTATTATATATATTACTATTATTAAAACGGTTATATTACCAAAGTTATTATTTATTAACTTATCGTATTTAATTAATTTTATTAATTTTAAATTAACGTAATTAAATTGGTAATAATAATCCTTTATTAGTTAGCCTTTATTTTACGTTTTTACCGGCGTTAGGTAAATTTTACACTCAAAACTAAAACTTTATCATATAACAATATTTAACAGCTATTATAATTAACTTACCTTAAAAATTAATTATAAAACCTTAAGGTTATATTAAATTTATATTTTTTAAAGTTAATATAAACAATTTTATTTAAATTTTATTATAACGTTTTAAAAGGTAAGTTTTTAAAATATACCTTTTATCGTTTATAACTTTAAAATAATTTAAAGTTTTAAATTTTTAAATTCTTTACCTTCTCTTCGGTTAAATTTAAAGCTTTATTTAAATAAAACTATTAATAACAACCAATATTAATTATTTTAAAAACTTAAAACTTAATTAAATTTTAACAATTTTTATTAATATATAATAAGTTAAAAAATATATATTTATAAGGTAAATTTTATTATTTTATAAATAAACCTTTACAAATTAATTAAAAGGTACCGTTATTACGCCAAACTATATAATCTTTATATGTTAATTTATATTGTTTTTACATTTGTTTTAAAGTTTTAAAAGATATGTAATATAAAATATTACAAAATATCTTTACTTTACGATATTTAAAAAAGTTTTGAAATTTAGCTATTTTAAAACTTAATTTGTAAATAGTCTTATAGTTTACATAAATATTATATATTAAGGTATATAAAATTTTAAGGTTACAATATTAATATTAAATATAACGTTTTAAGTATTTATATATTACTTTAAATTAATTAATAATAATAATTTTGTAATTATGTATTTATAATATAATAAATTAACAATATTAATTACGCCAAAATAAATAATATTAAATTAAATAATTAATAAACGTTATACAAAAAATTAATTAATAAAAAAAGGTTTTAAAAAATATAAATATTTTAAAAAAAAAAATATAAAATTTATAAAAATAATTAAAAAGTAAGTTTATACGTTTTATTACTTTTTTAATTTAGGAATTAATAGGTTAATAAAAAACTTTATTTTAACGTATAAACTTTATAATTAGTTAACTTTATTAAAAATATTGTAAAATTTTTTAATATTAAAAAAAAAAAAATATCATTTACATATTTAACGTTAAAATTTCTTTTTTAATAAAATTTACATAATTTAAAATATTTTTTTTATATTTACGTAAATAATAGCTTTTTAAGCTTTTATAAATTTTTTTTAAATATTAAGCCATTTTTTTATATTAAAAGCCTTTTATTAAAGTTGTAAAAAAAAGGTTTTAACCTTAATATTACCGATATTTTCGTCGGTTTTTAAGTTATTTTTAACCTTTTTAAAGTTTTTATTACTTTTATTACTTTCGTTATCTTCGTTACTAATAAACTTTTTATATAAAGAAAAATTTAAGTTAAGTTAATTATTGTTTAAGGTTATTTTATTATTAATAGTATATTTTTTGTTAATTTTAAACAATAAATCATTTATTATTACTATTAATTAAATCCATTTTTTAATAATATAATAGGTAATATTTTTTATAATATACCATACATATAATTGTTATAATAACAATATAAATGTTAGGTTTACAACCTTTTTAAACACCTTTAAAAAATTATTTAATATTATAATAAGTTCCTAAATCTTGTACTATATTTGTAACCTATTTAAATACCTTAATTGCCATGTAAAATTAACTTTAACCTTGTTTAAAACAAGGTTAAAAACAATATAAAAATTAGTATATAATAAAGTAATACCAATAATATTTAATAATAACATATTAAATTAATTAATTTATATTATATATAAATTAATATAAAGTATAAAATAAAATTATTAAGTAAAATTATTAATATTATTTTATACATATTATTAAATAATAAAATTTTAAAGTTATATTATTATATATTAATATATCATTTAAAAGTTTAAAATAAACAAATTACCCTTTTAATTATTAAATTTATATCGATTTTATAGTTAATATTATAAGTCTTTTTATATCGTTATAGTTTTTTTATTAATAATTAAATATTTATAAACTCCTTTTATATTTATTATTAAAATTATTATTTAATATTTTAAATATTGTAAAATATAATTATAATATTTTAAATATAAATCCTTATATATAATTTATCGTTATTAATATTTAAATTGAAAAGGTTGTTAAAGTTAATTTTAAATCTTAATTTTATATAAAGCTTTAAATTGTTAAATTTTAAATTATTACCTAATAAGTAATAGGTAATTTGGTTACTAATTAAAAAACCTATCTTTAATAATTTTAAAATAGTTATTTTAAAATTATATCGTTCCTTTTAAAATTGTTAATATTTAATGTTAATAGCCTTAACATTTAAATTGTAATTATAAAAGGCGTTTTTAATAATAATAAACCAAACATTTAACCTTTTATTATACGATATCGTAGTTTTATAAAAACATTTACATTTACTTAAAAATCGTTAACGTTCATTATTATCACGGTAATTTTTAACCCCCAACCGGTTATAAATATATTAATAATAATAAAAAAAGTTTTTTTTATTATATTAACCACTTTTATCTTTTATTTTTATATTTTTAAATATAAATATAATAAATTTTTATTAATATATAATATTACAAAAAACTTTATTAATATTCTTATATAATTTAAAAAATAATTTTAAATCATATTAAAATAATAGCTTTTTTTTTCTCGAAACTTTTCTCGAAGTTTATTTCGAAGTTTTTTTTAAGTCGGGAATTAAAGATTTAATAAAAGAATTTGATTAATTTAAAGTTAAAAAAGTTAAATCGATAATATTAATTTTAAACTTTATACAATAAAATAAGGTTTTAATTAATAATGTAATTATAGTAAGTTTTATAAAAGTTATTAACTTTAATTAAATAAATAATATATTTATTTATTTTATTTATTTATTATTATTTTAAAAAGTTATAATAATTTTAAAATAAATACATATTATTTTAAATAATTTTAAAATATAATTAAATAAAATTATATTTTTATTAAAATATAATATTAGTTTTAATATAAATTAAATAAATAAGTACATATTTGGTTATTTTACGTGAAAGTAAATGTGTTATTTCTTTAGTCGATCTATACTATATCTTTAGAATTACTGAAATAATTTGTAGTATCAATCTGCCAGTGAAGTCCCAGGCCGCGCTGCAATTAGCTAAAAGGGGGAATGATAAGACTGACTAATAAGGGATTCTATTCGCTACGACAAGTAATTACGCCGCATGTGTGTGTGTAAGTAAGCGCTCGGGCTTCGGTACTTTGATACTTTTTTTTACCCTTTTACCTTTTTCGCTTGCGGTAACAGTCAGTTTATGTACCTACCTAATGTATGTAAAAGCCGACATTTATGATATGTACTTATGATATGTATTTTTATTTAATAGGCCGACCATATTTTAATTCTCCCATGTTTTATTATCGCTTCTAAATTGAAGCCTTTTTTCTGTTTAACTACATTTTCTATCACTTGAACAACTCATCTAGGACGTATGCATGCATCATCGGATAATATATATGCATCTTATGCATCTTAGAAAGAAGAATGATTTAGAAACCTGGTCTGGGGAGATTTGGATTGCGTCTCCCGAATAGATCTTATACCAATGCTTACCATGCTCGCGTTTTCACCAATCCAACAGTTTAAGTCCAGTTTATTTTTATTACATTTACATAACATCATACGTCTTATATTTCTCTTTATGCTTACAACTTCGCTAACCTAGCATAGTAGAGTTAGATAAGGAGAAAAAACCGGTATGGGTTCGGTTTTCCAGATGAGAGCATCGTTCCCCGACTTATTAAATTAGTCTCCTCGCGTCCAATTCTACACTCGCGGCACAGCAGACGAGCCAAGAGCCAACCATCGTTTAATATACCTGTCGAATGATTCTTACAGATCAGTTGTAGTTTTCTCCCGTACGACGGTCAAGAATATGTAATTGTCTAGTGACCCTAAGACCTCAAGACTAATGTAAACCAGGTATTGTATGCTTTCGTTAGTTATCATATAACTATACTAGGACCCATGCTCCATGTTCCATGCTGTATACCTACACTAGATCTACTACAACACGATTAATAAGATACAGTATCCTTACCCAAAGAGCTTAGCTGCGAAAAGTCTCCGCTGCTACGGGAACAAGAAATCATATACATGCTCATTACGGTCCTTCAATACGGATAATACTACTAGAATCGTCCCTGGTCAATGCCCTAGCTGCGTTAGCCTCAACGGTCTCGTTAATGAGATATTCTCGATCCTCGCCTATGCAAGGTACTATATAGTAGCTGGACTCAAAGACGTCGGGTCCGATAATGGACCCTCTTCACCCCAGCTTCCTAACCCTCATTGTAACTCAGTCTAGGTACTATGTACCAGTTTCTCACCAACACAAAAAAAAAAAACCGAAGATATTCCAAGATGCTTAGTATAGGAGGACTAGGATTAACTCGGTTATTTGTTCCGATCACGTACAAATGTCTAAATATGCAGTGCTTATTTGAGCAACAAGAGGAGGAAAAACGCCCGAGGCAAAGACTGAACAAGATTTAGTTGATAGTGACACTAATTCGTCAAACATTTACGCATCTCGACGAACTCCGGCCTTGCTTTTAATAAGGCCGTTGAACGGATCGCTTACTACGGAAACGTACATATCGTGATGGATCGGAAGGATCTAATACCTATGCAGAACCTATGCAGAACCTATGCAGATAGAACTTCTAGAAGGGTTACTCGGTAGGAATCTGACAAGCCTCAAGGAGACAGTTTGCTAGACACTGTGTGGCATCGGACATTACCTGTTATTGATAAGTTATTGTGTGCTAGTTATGTAGGTTCAAATGTAGGATACCTAACTACGATATCATTTACCGAGGTTTATTCAATTTTACGATCCATTTAGATTTAGATTTATCTTTTCAGTAAAAGAACATTGAAGATAATACGAATAACTAATGAATAATATTATGGAGTTGATTGAGTGTAAATAATATAGTTATCCTTGATTACATAGATAATAATCTATTATATTCTACAGACAGACGTTTTAACTATAAGTCTTCTCTACTAACTAACTTAGGTACCTAGGTAGCTAGATCTCCTGTGAGAAGCGAGAGGCCTTAGCAGCACGCTTTAATTAAAGAATTTGATAGACCGAGTATGATGAACATCAATTCAACACCTCAAGAAACTGTCCTAACCAGAATCATGGAACGAGAACTGAACTTGGACTTTAAGTCCATGCCCAAGATTGAGGTAAATTATGTCGACACTTAAATACACGTAATTACTACATTAACATCCCTTCTATAAACAATAGCTCCATGCCCACTTAACAGGCAGTATAAGCCGGCAATGTCTGCACGAGATCTGGGAAGTAAAAAAAGCAATTGGGGGAACCGACCTAGAAGACCCTCTAGTCGTGATGCCGCTAGGTAGACACGACTACGATCTCACAACGTAAGAAGCATCCTGCCCTAATGAAGGATGACATGTTGGCCCGGGATAATAATAAGAGCTGAGGCCATCTCCCTAGCTTCTTCCCCCTCTTCTCCTCTTACATCTACAACCTAATTGATGACGCCCCATCCCTCGTGCACTCTACCAAATCCGTTGTGCGCGACTTCGCCGCTGACGGAGTGGCGTACCTTGAGCTAAGGACGACACCGCGCGCGATGACGGCCGCGGGCCTGGATAAGGCGGGCTATGTAGCGGCAGTGCTGCAGGCGATCACGCAGGAAGAAGCGCAGACGCAGACGCTCCACGCGCGTCTTATCCTGTCCATCGACCGGCGCAACACCCTCGCTGAAGCGTACGAAGTCATCTCTCTCGCGAAGCAATTCCGGGGCCAAGGCGTCGTAGGAATTGACCTCTGCGGCGACCCTACGAAGGGGAATGTAGCGCTATTCACGCCCGCGATAAAAGAGGCACAGGCCGCGGGACTAAAAGTAACGATCCATTTCGCGGAGGCGGAAGCTAGTGCCAGTTTAAACGAGCTGAGAACGATAATGAGCTGGATGCCGGACCGGCTAGGCCACGTAATCCACGTGCCGGAGGAGGTCAAGAGGCAGATAGCGGCGCTGCCGGGGATTGGGCTGGAGCTGTGTCTTAGCTGTAATGTTCACGCTAAGATGATTGTTGGAAGTTTCGAGGCGCATCATTTCGGGGAGTGGTGGCGGGTTGATGGACCGGTTGTTGTGCCTTGTGTAAGTTGACGTGTGAATTGGAAGACTGCTTGTGTATTGGACTGGGCTGACTAGATTCTGATTAGACTGATGATGTGGGAGTTTTTGGAAGTCCGCTGTCGAATGAATGGAGGCTTATACAGGAGCACTTTAGACTACAGCGAGAGGAAATATTGGGTTTGGCAAGGAAGGGCATTGATGTCATCTTTGGGGACGATGATGAGAAGGCGAGGTTAAGGGAGATCATGTGGTGAAGACAAATATCCGGATATATTATGTAGGGCAATGGTTAACACGAAGAAGTGAAGCGACGACGAGTATATCATGTTCACATTTTACCGTTCCCTTTTCGTTACCTAGAATCCTAAGGCCATATCCCTAATTTTCCATCTAGTCTTAAATCCAGATCTAAAGTCAATCAAGTGACGCTATTCTTCCCTATTCGTGAACACTATTGTGCTCTATATTGTCTCATTTATGTGTCGCCGCCCATTCTCTGAACCAAACCAAAGATTCGGGATTCGCTACACTGGTATTCGTCTTGATGTCTATTCCGGAAAGAATTTGTTTGACTGCAACCTCGATTCTAGTAAGATGTTAGCTATAATTCAAACTTGTATCATGGAAACAAATGAAGCGCAACAAACGCGTACTTCTTCCCGTTCAGTGTCTTTGGAACTCCTGCTCTACATTCCTCGATTACAGCAGGAATATGCCGTGGACTCAATTCCTTTCGAATTATATCTCTGATCTTCTCTTGTAGGTCAGGAGTAAACTTATTCCCCTCGGCCATGACGACGAACAAGCAGACAGTTTCGTCGCGGTCCGTCTCTCGCCTCCGACCAACACACACCGCATCCTCTATCTCAGCCCCGAAGAATTTTGTCAATAAGTTGTAGATCTCGGCGCTACCGAATCTTACACCGCCAGGCTTGAGGACGCCATCGCTACGCCCTAGCATGACAATACCGCCTGTCTTGGCGTTCATCCGTAGAAAGTCACCATGATGCCATATGCCATCGAAGCGCTCAAAGTAACTAGCACGGTACTTGGCATCACCACCCGGTCCCCAGAATGTCAGAGGTTGAGAGGGAAACGGCTTTGTGCATACCAGCTCTCCGTTTCCGTCGGGCATCGGGGCACCGCTAATAGAGTCTACTACGTCAATGGCCATGCCAAGCGCCGCGCATTGAATTTCGCCTACGTGGACTGGAAGCAGCGGGCACGGGAGACCGAAGCAAGAAATGATGTCAGTGCCCCCGGTAATGGATGCTAAATTGACGTGGGCAGGAAATGCCTTATATACGAAAGAGAAAGTTGATGGCGGTAAGGGTGCGGCTGTTGAGTAGATGGCTTGTAGAGAAGAGAGGTCGAGGGATTGGATTGGATAAACCGAGTTGGTCTCAAGCGCTGTAAGGTATGCGGCGGAGGTACCAAAATGAGTTGCCCGTAGAGAGGAGAGGAGTTGGGGTAGAGAGAGGTAGCCATGCGGTTTGAAGGGCGATCCGGAGTACAGAATAAGGGTCGTGCCGCACGAAAGAGCTGATATGCTCCAATGCCACATCATCCACTATAGGAACAACAGTTAACAATCATTTCTAGTGATGAGTTTAAGGGGCCCGGGAATATATAGGAGAAATGGCCTTTTGCTCAACTCGATAGGGGCAATATCAGCTCCCGAGACAAGTCTAAAAGGGGTAATTAAAAAAAAATTGATACTACGTACAGATGTAGTAGTATAGTAGAGCAACCTCGAAGCCGAATTCAGCGAGGAATGAAGATATAGCTCTTTCTTATGTTGAATCAGCGTGCCCAATGCCGAGTGGACTATGGCCTTTGGCAAACCCGTAGTACCACTAGAAAATAAGACATAGAGGGGATGTGACGGTGGGAGTTGTTCGAATTTTAGGGGATCATCACCGCCGCTAGATGGTATTAATGTTAACAGTATTAGCTAATGTATTCTTAGGAGAGTACCTCTTCAAAAAGCTTTCATATTCTCTGGCCATTACCCCCTTCGAGCCCAGCCCTTCCAAATCTAGGCTGAAGTCTTGGACGTTATTTATAACGATGACAAGTTCTAAACCCCTGGACGTGAGTTCGTCGACTACTTGTGATATCTTGTCCGTACCAGACCACGGCTTGCCGTTGTACACTGACCCATTATCCGCGAACAAGACCTTGGGTTCAAGCTGGACTAACCTATCCAGGACGGCACTTACTCCGTTATCCGGGCTTATTCCCGTCCACACGGCTCCGATGGAGGCTGTAGATAGCATCGCTACGAGAGCCTGATGGTGGTTCGACACGAATCCAGCGACAACATCCTTGGGTTTCAAGCCAGCAGCCCTCAACGAATTAGAGCACTGCCGTACTGCTTCTCGTAATTCAGCCCATGTCGTCGACACGAGCTGTTCTTCGACTTCAGTAACCGTGATGACTGCAGTAGAGGACTCATCAATATCCGCCTTCTCAGGGTACAGGAGGTTCTCTGCGAAGTTTAACAGTGCACCGGAGAAGAAATCCGGCCTGGGGAACATGTATGCATTGTCCGGTAAAACCTATCAAGTGATAAGTTAAGCATTGTGCCAATTTGATAGATAGGGGTACCGTATCTCAAGTTATCTAACCCTCGGGGACTTAGGAGTATAGTTATAAAATGTTCAAGAAAGATTTTGATAGTGACAAGACACATACACATGAGTAAGGCCTAGATGCCTTTATGCCACAGAAGTGCCATACTTCCTCCCAGAACTCCGAGATATTCTCGACGGACCATTTATGTAAGGTGGGATAGTCTTTGATTTCGACGTTATATTTACCCCTTACGTGTTCTAGAAACTTGTACATTTCGGTTGAGGTAGGATTTGGGTGCCGCCATAACTCGGCTGGCTTAGATATGGCATCGACAGTCATCGTGAATATACGGAACCTTGTATTCTTAATACGCGTAGAAAGCTGACTTGAAGAATTAAGAATTATGAAGGTACCTGTGAGAGGTATAATATTTAGATATCACGGAGTTGGTCTGTTGAGCTTACGATTGGCTGAGGATGCCAATTACATAAATACCTTAGGTACCTAACCTAAGTACATGTAATTTGGCCTTGAACTTATAAATGAAAGCCACAAGTCTAATACTTCATTTTTTTAAGTTAGTTAAACCATATTGGAAGTTAGGTACAAAGTCTGATGCTAATAATTGTGGCTGGTGAATGTGGTGGACTAGGTACCTTAGGTCCACTAGTACTAGGTATTGTTAGAAACTGTTGAGTTCTACCTATGTCGATCTTTTGTAACCGCTTAGGTTATGAATAAGCATTTTCAAGTCTTTTCCTCCTTTGATCTAACTAGTGGAGAAAATACTGTAGTTCGCGCTACGGGAGATGGTACATTAGTATACTGCAATACGTATGTATGTGAGGTGTCGGTATGCACATGTACGCTTGCGGTATATCGGCTTGTGATTGGTTATTCTCTCGATCCTCAATGTCTTATCGGGAATAAAGTTCAATTTAAGCGCGTTACCGGGATCATCTGTGCGACCTTCTAATCCTTTAGGATGCCACCTTCGCATGCACAGCTTTGCTTGAATCGCATTGGTTGGTTTGGTTGGTTTGGTTTAACCCTGGAGGTTCTATCATTTTATATTTATTTACATATTAAAGTGTACCTAATGTACGTACTTCTTAACTTGTCTGTCTCATAATAGCGATCATAGCGAACCCCGCCTTGTTGTATCGTATTTATTTCGCGTACATTAGGTATATAAATGATATAGGGATTTAATCTCGATCGCGATATGTAGACACTGATTTAAAGAATTCCCTGTATGTAACGCGCATAATGCAATTTTGTGTAGTAATGACGGATGGATCCTTCATGTACCGGCCGAGCCCGGCCATCATGACTGCTCCGCTTGCTCCGTAATATGGTCATAAAACCCAATTGAAGCCCTGCCAAGCTGATAATGGCGTGGTCCAAAATGAAAATGCGGCTAGGGGGTAATTTCGCGACTGGCACCATTCCGATTGCATCGTAATGCGTGTGATCACTTTGTAGTAAATAGCAAAAAAAGAAAAAATAAAGTTGCTTCTACTACTAAAAAGCTTACCGACTCTTCAGAACTTCTTAAAAGTTGAAGATGGTGCCCAACATGATTCAAGAACATGAATTCGATGATAAATGGGGTTTGCCGAGGCATTTATTTTGTTATACTAGCAATTGATGTTAGCTGAGCAGCTGTCATTTGGCAAACTCCCTTTGGTTAGGTTAAATCCTAGGAGCAGACGCGGAACTTGCATTGTAACGTGCATTGTGGGGAACGGATCTGTCGGAAGGAAGGACAGAAAAAAAATTGGGAGCGTTAGGTACCGACTAATGTTAAATGGCTCGCGAGAAGGCGAGAATTGCCCGGTAAGTTAAAGGCGGGATGGCAAGACGTTTATTACGGAATTGCGGGAAGGACTTTCTGTCTGACAATCAGACCGTCAGACCGTCAGACCTGACTCTGACTAATACGATCCATAGTGCCTAAGTCTTGCTGTCTGCCTGTCAGCCCTGCCCCCGGGAGGCCTGTGGCGATCTTATACCATGGTAAAGTTTTTGTGAAACTCTTGCTCGTACGGTACCAAATGGATTTAGTGTATTAATCAACATAAAATGGGCCAATAACGGTATTAGCTACATATGTACGGTATTAGCTAACAGATTTACACTAATTTAGATCCACATTTTGAAACTGCCATCTAAATGTACATAGTTGCTCTTGCGCCTCCTAAATTTGATCTTCTTCCTCCTTGCCTTTTCACCTCGTGCACCTCTCTTCCTTGTCAACTTTTCAGAAAGGTGTTTTTGGTTGTTGAGGGTAGCTGTCGTCGCTGTCGAACCGAGGGAATATTTTCCCTCAATTACACTCCTTGATTTAACGATATCAGCCGTCGCCCAATTGAATTCCCCCTTTAATCGAGTTCTAATAGCTCTACGGTTTTTTAATCAATAGCTTTCAACTCGCTCGGCCGGCCTATCCGTAAAATCTTCAGACAGAAACAACAGCCACCCTTAGAAGGACCAGTTGCAAAGGACAGAAACTCAGGGAAAGGGCAAAGTGAGTTGATTTATTTTATATATATATATCCATTTGCGCATAATCATCAAGCACGGACAGGCATTGTCTTGTACAAACCCAATTCACCAAAGCTTTCCATTATCAACTCGTTCGCCACAATTATCACAATTGGCACAATTGGTGCATACCTTGCGTTTTGAATTGTTTATCGAATTATCGGTAGTCATGTCCTAGATTTTGCGGCTGTGTTATTGTTTCCTATCTTTCCGGTCAACTTCCGCCAAAGTCTGTTGGAAACGAATACCACGATCCATCCCCCTTTAAGAACCTTTGACTGTTACCGTATGGTTCTAACCCAACAACCCAATGACATTAACTTTCCGGTGGCACTTAACATATTTAACTAACAACTGTTTAGATTCCCAAATTGTAGACCTATACTCCGGGGCTCTTTTGCGTTATTTGTCCCTTCACAACCGCCCGATTATATATCCGTTACTATTTCCTACTACCTATAGAAATGCCACGACGTATCTCGATACCCTTTACTTCAAACAGTATGCCGCATACAGAGAAGGCTGGCGAGAGAAGACCCTCACAGTCCAGAGGGAATCGCCTTAGTCAACTCTTTTCCTCGTCCCCCAAGACCAGTCAACAGCCGTCTGCCCAGCAAGCCCTGATGGCCATGCAGAACGGCTCTAACCCTTCTATTACGGCTCCGGGTTTATCCCTGCCCAGCATTTCCCTTTCTACGGCTACTGCTGGCGAGCTTAATCAAGATGAGCCGCCGACTACCTTGTTCCAACCCCCTTCCTCTACCGAAATATCGCGCCAGAAACGTTTCGACGCTCAGTTTGGGCCATTGGTTGACCCGACTGACCGATACGTCAGCAAACATCACGGAGAACCTCTGGAAGCACCCATCATCGACGAGCCGCCATATTATTATGTCTTGACAACTTATATCAGCTATCTCCTTCTCCTCGCTCTTGGTCACATTAGGGACTTTTTTGGCAAGCGGTTCAGCAAGAAACAAACCTACAAGACTCTCCGCATAGCCAATGGCTATGCACCTTTGAATGACGATTTTGATAGCTTCTACACTAGACGGTTGAAGATGCGTATAGACGATTGCTTCGCAAGGACTATTACTGGCGTACCGGGTCGATATATTAATGTTCTGAACCGTGTCTCGGATGACTTCAATGAGACTTACAGGTACACCGGTGGTGCGACAGAGACTCTGAACATGAGCTCGTACAACTACCTTGGGTTTGCACAGTCTGAAGGTCCTTGCGCTAATGCTGTCGAGGAGTGTGTGAAGAGGTATGGTCTCAGCTTCTGCAGTCCTCGTGCTGATTCGGGTACTTCTGAACTTGTCTGTGAGGTTGAGAAGGAAATTGCGACATTTGTTGGCAAACCAGCTGCCATGGTTTTCTCTATGGGTTTCGTCACAAATGCCAGCTCTTTCCCAGCTCTTGTTTCTAAAGGTTGCCTGATCATCTCCGATGAGCTGAACCATGCCTCAATCCGACTCGGTGCTCGTCTTTCTGGTGCTGTCATTCGTTCTTTCAAGCACAATGATATGCTAGACCTTGAGAGGAAACTACGAGAAGCCATCGCCCAAGGTCAGCCTCGAACCCACCGTCCTTGGAAGAAGATTCTCGTTGCCGTTGAGGGACTTTACTCTATGGAAGGTACCATGTGCGATCTACCCGGTATTCTCAACCTTAAAGACATCTACAAGTTTGCTCTCTACGTCGACGAAGCCCACAGCATCGGAGCCCTTGGTCCCAAGGGACGTGGTGTCTGCGATTATTTTGGCATCGACCCAAGTAGAGTGGATATTCTGATGGGAACTCTGACAAAGTCTTTTGGTGCCAATGGAGGTTATGTAGCGGCCGAGAAGCACATTATTGAGAAGCTGAAGAGTTCTAACTCCGCTACCATGCTAGGAGAATCTCCTACTCCGGCTGTCCTGATGCAGATTTTGGCTTCGCTAAAGATCATTAGCGGTGAACTTGTTCCCGGCCAGGGCGAGGAACGCCTACAGCGTATCGCCTTCAACTCTCGGTATCTTCGTCTCGGTCTCAAGCGCCTAGGTCTTATCGTCTATGGTCACGATGATTCACCCATTATCCCTGTCACTTTATATAACCCTGCTAAGATCTCTGCCTTCAGCCATGAGATGCTTAAGCGTAGGATTTCGGTTGTCGTTGTTGGGTACCCTGCCACTCCACTGATCAGCTCTCGTGCGCGATTCTGTGTCTCGGCTGCACACAACAAGGACGATATGGACCGACTTTTGGCTGCTTGTGACGAGGTCGGAGATATCCTACAGCTCAAGTTTTCAACAGGAATTGCTGGAGGTCTCAAGTCTCTACCAGAAGACGTTGCCTCAGAGAATGAGAAGATACGGCATAATGCTAATGGACCTCAGGGCGTTATCGAGCCGCCTCGATGGTCCCTTGAGGAGATTATCGCCCATGGTTCGGAAGACGCTAAAGTGAGATTAAGATAGAATAATTAGGCATCCTGTATGTTACGAATGTGAATAACTTACATTAAGGAGTTTTGTCACGGTATGGGAACACGATATCTCGAACTAGGGCGCCTTGGAGTTAATAGACGGCCCCGGGCCGATAATTGGTTGTGGATTTGGAGGTTGGGCCCGCACTCGCTTTACAGATAAACCTTGGTTCACTTCACACCGGCTGGTATGTCAAAATGGCGAGCGAGGCGGAACAACTCCTTTTTGCCGCAGGCATCGGAAGACAAAGATACCCTGACGCTGTACTTATTGTATTGCCACCCTTGGTCGTCAGTTGACCTTAGGTCGACGATGGCTCTTAGCCTCGTCCCTTGTGGACTCAGGGCATTAATAGTATTCGATAGGAATACGAATTCATTCGTTACTATTTGCTTAATTATATGAATTATGACTTATGTGGTGAATGCTTATCACCCAGTGCTTAGTGTCTTTAACATTAGTTTATGTAGGTGTAAGGAATCTCTCGAGATATCATCGAGTGTATATCCCTATTAGGAAAGAGACTTGGTATAATGCTTAGCTAGGATTTTTGAATGTTTTGGGTAAAGTGTGAGTTGGAAATAGTGTCATGAAAGTGTAGGATATAAAAAAATGTATATATAATTAGCATCTTGAAGGAGTTGCTATTCCCTTAGATTTGGGCTGATTCTATAAGTTGAAAATCCAGATATGCCTACGTTATTGAGAAATATCTTAAAGCGGTAATATGATGGATTCCCCGCGCCATCATTTAAAGACTAGCACTAATGAAGCAGTCAGTTTCTTGTTGAGTATGGGTAAGTATGGGTAAGGTGTTGCGGCTGACAGCAAAGGGCTTGCATTGGATCAGCATGTCTAAATTCAACTTCCTCTTCACCAAAGTACCTAAATTCCTAAATTATTAAAAAAGTTTTTCCAACATAAGCAACTATTCTTAAAAAAATATGAACAATAGGTCAGCCGAGTTAAGGATGAAATTTATTGATGTCATATGGATAGTCATAACTACATAAGAAGTGCCGAGATCCGTAGATTAGAGTAGATCAGAGTAGACCGGAAGATTCTTGTATGTACATAGGCGATATGAGCATTTAAACATGGTATAACATGGTATAACCTAGAAGATTAAAGATGATAGATCATGAAAGGTTGCGTGCCGCCGACTCGGTTGAAGCGAATGTAACTCTAGGCTTATGTACTTGGACGTTGCGATACCCAATGATTTGCGATGAAATCTAACCGTCGTCGTTAATATTTTGGTCCAAAAGCTATCGTAGCTTAAGCTTGTTAAGCGGATATTTCCGCAAAATCAGCATTTTGTACATAGAGACAAGGATGTTCTTTTTGTTTTCTTTTGCTGATTTGATAGTTCGCTTTTTAGTACGAAATCAAGAGAAATAATCAAGAAAAATTAAAATTTAATATTAATATAACTGTATCCATGCGTTTATAATTTATTATGAAGTATTTTATAGTTAAAGTATTTTATAACTAAAAGATATTTCTATATGTGTGTACATCTATACTCTATTACTCCATACATGTAGGTACCTTAGGTAGTGTAGACGCCAACGATATAGGTACTTGAGTACACAGACCTATACTTAGTACAATTGTCTCGAATTGGTGGTTGAGAAAAAAAAGGGGACCCATCTAACCTGCGGAGACTAGCAGAAAACGGGTTAAAAGGTGCAGATAGGTGGACTGTGGAATGCTTAGAGGAGGACAGGGTAAGAGCGAAAAGGGCGCCAAGCAGCGGCTATAAGTACCCAACTAAGCCTGCTCAGGTACACCATCCGACTATTAGAAATACCGGGCACTTTATGTACAGTGACCATAGGGGCTGTGTACCCCCTTTATTTATGCGGTGCATCTTTTGAGCGGTACGGCAGCACAGGTACATTCATCATGTACTACAGTACTAAATTGGGTACATTATGTACTTCCATAGTGTACATAGGTACATGTAATGCATGTAGGTGAATACATACCTAATGTACACACTACACAGGGCACAGGGAAGGAGGGACGGGGATGGAGGGACTACCAGGAACAAGAACTTAAGGAATTGCGAGCGGGACTAAGGCAAAGCGCTGGGCTTTTTACAACCTCGAATCAATTCGCTATTAGCAAACTCCAAAGTCTCCAAGTCCGCATTGCAAATAACCGCAACTCGCAACTCGCAGCTCGCAACCCGTAAACTCCAATCTCTCTCCTCTCCGACTTATCCTCCAAAATCAACACTGTCTCCGACTTATACAGTAGCACTGCAAGGGTTTTCCGTCCGTAGTAAACAATTCCCCCCCATACCTCCTGTTTCCGACAGCTGTTTCGACACATCGTTGTATTGTATTAAGGTGGACTCTTCCCGGGGTGCTACTAGGAACAAAGTCTTTGGTAGTTCCTTGTCGATTAGGCGCGCGGGTTTATAATTCTCGTCTTTGAACCCTTTTAGACCCTGTTCGACAGAGAAAGAGAGTGGAAAAGAAAAGGAGGGAGGGGCCTGGGAGTTACAAGAAAGAAGCAAAGAGAGTTTTTGAAACGTGGAAACGTGGGATACGATTATAACCTAAATAACGCCACAGTCTCAAATTGATTCTTGCTATTTTGCCTTGCTTTGCTTTGCTTTAGCAAGCGCCGACGATGAACTTCGACTCGGGCACCGCCTATGCGGAATCCGACGCCGACGATGAGTACGAGAGGAGCGTCCATACTAGTTCACCCGTCCTCGCCACCGATTCTGAGATCTCCCCGACCGACTCCGATGGTCGATCCTCTACCGAACACACGCCTACTACCTATGGACAACCCAGTAGTGCCGACAGGTTGCCCGAAACCATAATATCCGAATGGGACGCAGACGAGTGTGCCGATTTCATTGCTAGTATAGGATTACAGCAATATTCAGATCGATTTCTTGGTATGTCTTCCCGCTTCGCTTACCGTCAAGAAACGTTGTTACAGCCCTCTTTGTCAAATTCGCTGTTCTAACATCAAGTCTAGAAAATGAGATTGTGGGCGAGGCCTTGGTGGCGCTGCTACACGATGACCTCAAAGCTATGGGAGTGGCTAGTGTTGGCCACCGCTTAACAATACTTAAGAGCGTATACGATGTAAAAAAGGCACAGGATGTTCCTATAGAGAGCGACCATTATGTACCACTCTGTACGTTGCATTCCTCTTGGTCCCCGTCCTCCCTGCGCACTTTGCGTATTTCATATTGCCGTTAATTAACCTACTAACCTCGCATATAGCTGCCGATGCCGAAGCCCAATACGCCACCGCAACCCTTAAAGACATCAAAAACCTAGTCGAGCAGCTACGACTTCGAGATGAAAGGATGAGCTTCTTGGAGCAGGACTTGCGACGGATGACCGAGGACTTTAGACGGCTACGCGAAGATATGCTGCCAGCCTTGCGCCTTGCTAAAGACGCGCAGCAGCCTCTACCACACGTATCAAACAACCAAGGGGGCTACGGCTACGAGGCTTCTACGGTTTCCCCTCCCGCTCCCACCTCTGCGTCGAATCAATCGACCAGTGGCATTAAACGTCAATATTCTACTAAGAAGATTGTTCTTGGTACGAATCCCAAGAGCATATCCCCTACTCACTTACAGACCACTCACGAGCGGCCCTCTGTAGAACAAACTCTAGACCCTGCGGGTGCTGCCGAGAGGGCCGTTATGTCATCATCACTTCTGACTGCGATGAATGGTTCCGGCCAGGCTACGTCGCCCGGGTATTCTCCGAATATACCCTCGCCCACCTCACCTCCAAATCTAGGCAGCGCCACCCTCGGTTCCCGGTCATACCGCTCTGACGACCGGCAAACGCCATCTAACCGTACCACTTTCTCGGAAAGTGAATACGGCCATAATTCCAAGCAGCCCATCGCGCCGCGGCGAGGGCAGACACCAGTACCCGAGACTCCAGGCTCGAATTCTTCAGTGGAGATCTTTAAGTCGTTTAGGGTCAGTATGGACGACCCTTGCTATAAGGTCCTCCCAGCTGCTTTAAAGAAATATCAGATCAACGCGCCATGGGACCAATACGCGCTGTATATTGTGTATGGTGACCAAGAACGTTGCCTGGGTCTGCACGAGAAGCCATTGATCCTTTTTAAGCAATTGGACAAGGAAGGGAAGAAACCCATGTTCATGTTACGGAAAACCAATACTGCACAAGCGGACGCCGAAACACCTGGGAGCGCTGGTCTGAATACGGGGGACTTGACAGGAGTTCAATATAATCCTCCTGGTGGGATCATATGATTCCAAGACAAGTTAACGGGGCAATGCGTCCCTAATATATGAAAGCCATAATTCAAAAACTGTTACAAGTAGCAAAAAATGGATGGGGTCATGTACGGATATTTACTCTGGCACAAGCGCGCATTGCTATTCCTCTATTGCTACGAAGCGGGTGTTTATCGAGTCTGTTTCGACGCCGCACGCGAGCCAGGCTCATTCTCTCAAGGAAACACTGGGCACTTAGAGCTGGACACGAAGCAGGGGCTTCTGATTCGCTATTGGTGGTGTCTACCTACCTACCTTAGCTAGCGCAGTGGATATTGGGACTGTCAATTATCATGACGAGAGACTTTCTAATAGCTCTATTCTAAGCATGTTACTACTACAAAGTTTTAGTACGTGCGTGTGCTTGGTCTTCTGTGAAGCTTTGCTGTGTGTATATTATAGTGACTCGCCGGAGGTTGTGAATGATGCTTGGGTATTGATGGATGAGATGAGGATTTATTACCTACCTGTGTAGCTTCTCTATCCAATTTCTAAAGTGTTAAATTCTACTAACTTAGATACTATAGAAATAATAACGTAATCTATAAGTCAGAGGCCCATACAAATTAAAGGCTTAAAAATATTTAAACTATTATTTTTTAATTTTAATAATTAATTATTTAATTAATTTATAATATTTTAACTATTTAAAAAAACTAAGATAAACCTAGTTTTTGGCGTTATAAAATGTAATAAAAATCTTAATATAAAACGCGTTATATGTATTTATAATATTTTATATAAAACGTTATACGATAAGATATATAACTGTTAATAATGCGTAAATATAATAGAACCATAATAAAAATTAATTTAATATAAAAAAGATATTATTATTTAATATATTTTTAAGTTAAATGTTTAAACTTTTTTTTTTAAGTTTTTTTACGTTAAAAAAATAGTTAATATATTATTGTAAAAACGTAATAAAAAATCTATTGGAAAAAATTGGACTATAAATTTTATATATTAGTAATTTAAGTTTAAAATATATTTAAATTATTAAATTAATTATTAAAAAGTTTTTTGTAAAAATTTTAACGTTTATTACATATGGTATAAATTAATTATTAATATAATAAAAAAAGAGGGTATTTTATTTAAAAATATATATAATTTTAATAAAATTAGGTTTATAATAGATATAATTATTATAAAAATAGTTATTATAAATTTAAATTAATATTAAAAATTTTATTAGGTTATATTTGGGAATAAAAAATAGTTTATAATTATTTAATCGATTAATTTATAAAATTAAATTATACCGTTTTTTATTATTATAATAGGTAAAATATATTTTGTTTTATAATATTATAATAGCGGATTTTTATTTGATTAAATTATTAAATTATTTAAAAATGGTTAGATTATAAATAAAATTAACTTAAAATAATTGGCGTATTTTAATAAATATATAAAAAAACGTATAAAAAACGTTAAATGCCTTTTAATATTAAATAGTTATAAAAATTATATATTAATAAAATTTTATAAATATTATTATAATAATAATATTATATCTTTTTATATATTTACCTATTTATTTTATAAGTTTTAACTTTTAAATATAAACGTTTTTTTAATTTTAAAATATATATATAAAATAATTATTAAAAATCTAATATAATAAGGTTTAATTTATATTAAAAAAGAAAATTTTTTCCTAATTTTTCGGTAAGTTTACGATATTGCTTTTATTAAAAAAAATATATAAACTAATTTTAAAACTATTAAGTTAATTTTTTTAAACTTTAATTAAGTTATTTTATAGTTTAATATTGTTAAAATTACGCGTTTTTTTATCTTAAATCTTAAGTTATTTAACTTATTTTAAATATTTAAAATATTAAAAAATATTAACGAAATTATATTATAGTTTATTTTTATATATAATAAAATTTTTACTTATTAATTTAATTTATTAATTAAAATTTTAAAAATTATTAATAAATTAAGTAAAATTATGTATAAATTATTATATAAAATAGTTATATTAAAAAAAAAGGTTTTAAATTTTTAAAAAATAAATTACGTATTTTTTAAATGTTAATAAATAAAAAATAAATAATTATAAAAAGAAAAATCTTTTATTTAAAAAAAAAAAAACACGTTATTAATTTAAAAAAATAATATTAACGTTAAAAATAATATTATAATTATTAAAAGTAATTTTATAAAAAGGTAATAATAAAGTTAATAATATTATAATATTTATAATAATATAAGTTATAACGCGTAAATTTATTAAGTTAAATTAGAAATCTTTAATTATAAAAATTAAATTAATTTTTAATTAATTTTAAACGTTATTATTATATAATAAATGATTTAATTAAATAAGTATAAAATTGTAAGTTTTTAACTTATATAAGCTTTTAACTTGTGAATCACGTTAATTATAAAATGAAATAAAGTTAGATATTTATATATCTATGAAATGTATTAGCATCTAGGCTCTATCCTCGGTTTTAAGGGGTTTAAAAGGATTTGTATAGACTTAGAAATACATGTTTCTTTTAACTTAAGGTTGCACACCTAAACCGAGGCAAGCACAACTATTGGTATCAACTTCACTGCATGCAATACGTACATCAATGGTTTTATTCACAGGTACACAGGTACTTAAGTGGTAGCTTTTGCACGAATAGGTGCTTCATTATGTAGGTACCTAGGTAGCAAGTGGTAAGTGCATTTATACCTAAGTACATAAAAGCCCCATAATTTGTTCATGTCTCCCTTATCTTAGGTAATTCAAACCTTTTCCAGTCCGTGCACAAATATATCGGAACAATAATTACTCCGACGCCACATCAATAGTCAACACCGCCACAATCTTCTTCCAAAACTAGCCCAATACCTAATGGCGCGTAAAGGCTGTAAAAACAAGCGCGCTAACGCACGTGCCATCAGAAAGGCCAAGAAAAAGAAGGCTACAACTATTGTTCTGGTGCAGGTACGCGATTTCTACTCCACCATCATCATTTGAATTCATTTGTAGTCCAAAACTCACCCCACGATCGCTTAGTATTCCAAGTCTTGCAAGATGCACGTCGAGGTATGTTTCTTTTGAGCTTTAATATTTGTTCTTTTTATGGTCAAGGATCATGGTTCTTTTGGGGGACATTTTCCTGGCTTTTTTTAGGATACGATAGGATACCATACGCGTTTCCTAAAGAAGTGAAGCATGTACTAACGCGCTGACGAACCTATAGCGATCAATCAAGCTCGTTACCGAGCAGCACAACATGTAAGTTACTCCATGGCTAATGCGCCCCAGTTAGAAGCTTCTCTTGTATCTATAGCTACTAACGCGCTATGCGCATCTAGTCCGAAGCCCTCGCCTATGCCCGAGTTTCCCATGAAGGAATGGAGCGTCAAGGTCTACGTCCTCGACCAGGCTGGTAACGAGCATCCTGCCAGTTGCTTCACCAAGGTTACTTACAACCTTCACCCCTCCTTCGAGGACAAGACTCATCAGAGTAAGCGACTCCGAACCCCGCGCGCGTGTATCAGCCTCGAGGTTTCAAGACTGACCGGACGATAGCCTTCACTGATCCTCCCTTCACCTGCAAGAACGAAGGATGGGGCGAATTCGAGATGTCGATTGATCTCTTCACCACCGAGAAGGGCGGCAAGACTACCGTCTACCACGACTTGAACTTCCAGTCCCCGAAGTACGAAGTCATCCAGACGGTCACTTTCAAGAACCCCTCTCAGGCGCTGCTCTCGGTCCTCCGCGAGACCGGTCCCATCCCCAACGAGGACGACTCGAAGGCCGCGACCAAGGCTCGCAAGGCGAACGACTTCAAGAAGAAGAAAGCAGCCTATGACTACGAGAAGATGGCCGATGGTCTCGGTAAGCTCAACGAGGATGACCTCCTTCACGTCATTCAGTTGATCCATGACCACAAGAGCGACGAGACGTACACCAAGAACGACATGGAGGCTGGCGAATTCACCGTGGACCTGTACACTTTGCCCGATCACCTCTCCAAGATGATCTGGGATTTCATGGTAGGCACCTATGGGCACACTATATCGGAACGAAACATACACAGATTGCTAACTTAAAACAGGTTGACATTAAGATTGTCTAAAGATTTCGTCGCAAGTTCTTCTCGGGTTGTACCCCGTCTGGTTTGGAATGGTTTATTGGTCTTACGCCGTCATCTTCTACTGGACTCTCGTGTTTATCTTGTTCGTCATCTTCACATGAACACTGGGTTGCATTTGCATTGGCATTGGCGTTACGAGTTAGGTATGGCACCTTATTAGGTTGCCCAAGTGAATAGTGGCATTGGTTGGCAGGTGGCAATGGTTGACCTTGGCGTATGGTTGCGTTTCAACGCTTCATCCATCGCGGTAGATACCCTGCAATTAAATAGTCTCCCGATAATTCAAAAGGGTTATTTTTAAAGATTTTACGCCTTTACGCCTTTACGCCCTTACGCCCTTACGCCCGCGGTACACATATTTGTATAGTACTATTCGCGCTTACGGAATACCGATGTGAATATGTATTGATGTGCCTTGATATACTCCATCCGCAACGTGGGTAAGTTACATGGGTAAAACTACGTAACATACAGATATGTACATAATGTAGATGCGATTCCGATTCGAATTTGAATCGCTGTTTGCGACTCCACCGCATATCTATCTATATATGTATCTAGGTAGGTATGTATAAGATGCCAGTGCCTCGAAGGACATGTGATTGTGTAGCTTGTAGTTTTAATACCGTATTTGGCTATTAAGGTCGGAGAGAGACCGATTGGCTAGATGATCAAGACAAATTATTAGATATGGAAATATGTACTTAAGGTATACCTAGATTGCGGCGTTGGGAGCGTCGTAGGCTTTTAAGGGCTGTCGAGCTGAGAATGACATCACAGACATCATAAAATTTGAGGCTGAGCGATCACCCGCTACGGATACTTCTTGTTTAGTGGGGCTTTGCGGAGAAGACCTAGAGTGGTTTAATGTCCTTTGGGGGCCTCATTTTCCAAGGTGAACTAGGGAAGGAAACTAAGGTGAAGGATTCCTGGAATTGGGTCATGCTGTATGGTAACGTGACCGAATGAATCTGCTTCAACCCAGCCACACTCCGAAATTCTATTGGACAGAAAATGGTTGCCGCTTTCAGTGACAATTGCATGAGGTTAGAGTAGGTACTCTATGTACATAGGTGTGTATACATACATGTATATATGTAGGGCCGGTTACTTGATAGGCGGGTACATACATGTTAGAGGTAGGCTTTACTATTAGTACTTCTTCACCGACTTATTGGTATATACATATTCAAGTATCTTAAATACTATGGTAATGTCCACGTCTGCATTGCTTAATGGTCGTACAGGTATTACACAAGGCCTCACCTGCCTAAATAGCACTACGTAATGAAGGCCTTTAGGTACATTATTAGTATGAACTCTAGAGATGCACATACATGGGTAACTGCATTCTTAAGCAGGATATACATATTTTAGTGTAGGTACATGTCTGGGGACACCGATCTCCTTCCTCTTGGCTTTCCCTGCCGACTTACCATTGACCAGGGGGGAGCGTAGTGTGGCTTCCTTTGGCACATAGCCTAGCGTATTGATATATCGTAATCGGTGAAATTATATGGAAAGAGAGATGCGAAAAGAGAGAAACAGCATGAGAGAGGGAAAAAAAAAAGAAGGAAATAAGGAAAGTTATCCTGTGCATATCCCCAATCCTCTCAATTTCTCCATCACATCATACATACAAATCCTACGTTATCCCACCCTAATTCTACATTTTCTATCTATTCATTGGCAAACGTGCAATCCCGGACTCCGGTTACTTATCAACCGCTCCAATCGTAGAGCCAATAATACCCTTACAATCGCTAATTCCATTGTTCTCTTCCCCGATTACAAACTAAAATAGGCCACCCACAGCTGCGGCTTATCAACGTCAAGTCCGAGATAGACGGAGACCTAGAACCAGACGAGACGGAAGATTGAATCAAGCCTCAAGCCTCAATCTGAAATTGACTTTGCCTATCTTATATCTTTCCCATATTTGTGGTCCCTGTCTCCGCCCGTCTCCCCTGTTGCTTGTACCTTAAGACAGCTTAGACTACCGATTCTAACCCTACTATCAACCCTTCTACGACCTAACCGGCGATAATTTCCAAGAAGCTATCACCTACCTAAAGCATTACCTCATATTGTGTCTATACATACTTGAGCTATCTGCTCTATGTACGTAAGACCTTGTACATACTGTATGCTAATTCATTTGCATACTGTACAATCCTCCCCCATCCTAGCTGTCTCGGTTTCCCAACCCCGCAAGTCCGAGGTAAACCAATTTCACTTGTCTACCGATCTATTCAAAGTAGGGATCCAAATTATTATAGACTCTTCCAATTGTCAGACTGGATTTGTCCCACTCAGTCGGAGCGCTTATTGAATTTGCGCGCCCTTGTTTATTTATATAAGACCTAGAAATCCCGTCGTAAGCCGAACAGTAGTCGGCGCGCGCCGGGTCTTTTCTACGTCGTGTTTGATGCGTGAGCGGGAAATCAGGGCTCAAGTTGGCGCTGGAGCTGGAACTGGAACTGGAGCCGAAGCCGAAACCGAAACAGACCAGATCGATAACACCACCACTGGATCAGACCATGTCTCAATATGAGAATGCCGCCGTACCCGCTGCCAACATGTCATCTGCTATTCAACAATCACGCCAATCTCTCCCCGCAAACACGGCGCATTCTCACCCGCACCCGCACGCGCAACCCCAGTCCCAGTCCCAGTCCCAGCCTCAGCCGCAGTCTCAAACTCCCCAGCACAAACGCGTATACCAAGCGTGTATCCCTTGTCGGAGGAGAAAGGTGAGATGTGATTTGGGCAGCGTAGACGACCCCCACGACCCCCCGTGCGTCCGTTGCCGCCGTGAGAGCAAAGAATGTTTCTTCAGCGCTACGCGACGTAAGCGTAAGAACGAGGACGATATCGACGAACCAGAAGACGATTATATCGTTCGTAACGCTCGAAAGCGAGCCCATGCTGAAGACACGCCTCCGTTCGTCGATAAGAAATCCTATAGTAGCGTACCGTTGACTCCCGGTGGTTCGACCGGCCGAACACAACCATTAAAGCGACCCAGTGCAGACCGTGAAGATGGGGGGAAGAATGATAGAGGAGGAAGCTATACGGACATCGGTGAAGATTCAAATGCTCAGTTAGAAAATCTCGAAGCCCAGAGTGTCATGAGAAAGGAAGTCTACGGGCCTCATGATGCCCTCGACCTGCTGTATAAGGCTGCTACCGACAGGTCCGTCTTTATACCACCTTCGTCTAGCATGCTCCCAAACGAGCGAATCGCTGATTATGCCACAAGCCCGCACGATCTAAACAGGCGTCACGAAAGCATTGCCTCCGTCGTCCAGCCCTCGCCCGTATCTGTTCCTGGCCGTAAAACGCCGCGAGACCACAGTTCTGGTTATAATGGTCGCCCGACTGGTCGCGCAACGTCGAAATCCGCAGACCTCATAGATCCACTCTTACAGTCATCGACTAAGAATGATGAAGCAGCTGATATGGAACGTCGGTTAAATGTTGAAAATGAAGCCGGATATCAAGAAGCCCTTGAAGCTTGGTCGAGGTTTAGATTTGTTAGAGCTGGATGGTTCACGAAAGAGGAGGCCATAAAGTATATTGTATAGTAAGTCAACAATGGCGGCTGTTTTCGTACCTTACTAACTTATTGTTAAGTTATTATGAGTACTTATCTCCCATGACGCCTATCTCGCCACCAACCTTCCGAAGTCCGGCTTCTCATATCACCTTACTGACCGAAGAACCTATACTCACCGTCACGCTACTGACGATCGCATCGAGATACTACCGTATTCGCTCCACGGGTGGACATTGTAGATCGCACGCAATTCATGAGGAGCTATGGAGATATCTTCGAAGAATGATTGAAAGGTGTCTTTGGGGACAAGAAGCTTTTGGCGGTGGCTTCTGCGGGTCCGGTGCTGATGAGTCCCAGACCTCTAGCACCGCGCCGTGGCGAGGTTTGAGGAAAGGTAGTCTCCGTACATTAGGGACAATCGAGTCGTTAATGATATTGACTGAGTGGCATCCGCGCGCGCTTCACTTCCCTCCAGACGAGGCAATTGACGAGTTGATGCTTCCCTTTCGCGGCGGACCCCAGCTCGATGATGACGAAGGGGATCAACGTCCTGGCGGTAACGTCGGAGGTCGTAGAATTGAAAGCTGGCTTGAGCCTGCGTGGAGGAGCGACCGCATGTGTTGGATGCTACTCAGCAATGCTTTAGGACTCGCCTATGAATTAGGGGTGTTCGATGATATCGATGAGCTACTTGAGACCAATGCCATCACGCGACCCGAGTACGAGGATGAAGCGTATCGTCTCCGCGCGACGCGGATCAAGCGGTTGTTACTAGTCTACTTGACGCAGCTAGCTGGCCGCCTCGGCTGGACGAACATGGTTCCTGACAGCATCCGAAAAACTGATCCTGCCCTGTCCGGAAGACGTCTGATATCAAACGAGGGAAACACGCCGGGGACAAATCAATCAGTTATATCTAATAGCTTTAGTTATGTGCCCAACGTCGAACTGGATGACCAGATTATACACTGCTGGGTTGGCGTGAGCGATGCCATGCAACTGGGCAACGAAAGGCTATTTCGATCACGAAAACACACTACGGAGATCATACAGAGTGGAAATTACACAAAAGCGCTCAAGGAATTCCAGCCGATCCTTAGGAATTGGTGGAGAGAGTTTCAGCGCTTCGACATGCCTGAGAATATCCGGCACATACTGACAATTGAATACGAATATGTACGGATATATGTCAACTCCTTGGCCTTGCAAGCAGTTGTTGAACGTTGTACAACCAATGCTGGAGTATCTAGCAACACTGTGCATGGGAACAATGCCGCCGCAGGGAATCCACAGCTGTCACCCCAAACGCAAAACTATCTGGGTAACCTCCCTCTTGGTCACCTGGGTGGCTTCGGTCACGAAGATCAAGAATACGTCAAGGAAGTAGTGGACGGGTGCAGAAATCTTTTACGGACTGTGGTCGAAGGTTTGTTGAAAGAAGGTTACCTTAAGCACGCCCCTGTGAGAACTTACTTCCGCATCATCAGCGGAGCTATGTTCTTGCTCAAGACCTTCGCCCTAGGTGCTCCTAAGTCTGATGTGGAAGTGAGCATTAGTCTCTTAGATCGTACGGTTGATGCATTACGAAACTGTGTCGTCGATGATATTCATCTAGGCACTAGGTTCGGTGATCTTCTCGAGTCTCTAACAACACGACTCCGAGACCGCTTCAAGTACGCACCGGCGACAGGTTCTGGCGAAGGCAAGAGCCCTCGTCAAAATGGCGAGGTGAGCAGAGCCATAGCTACGAACGGAAATTTGCAGGCTAATGGCATCGAGAATGGGTACATGAACCACACTAAATACAGAGAGGGGCTCAATGTTCCTGGTAAGTTTATTATATATAAACAATATTGCTGTAGACCCTGGGGGACAGGACTAACCAATATCGTAGAACGATCATCTACCCCTTCAGGCAACGTGTCAGCCACGCCTTTCGATTTGACCACCGGCAACTTTCCCTACCCAGCCGGGTCAGCCTCCGTGTTTGGACCTACCACGCCAGCACATAGCGGTAATGCTCTAGAACAGTCTAACATGGGCGATAACATCTTTGAACCAGGTACCGACTGGGCCGCTGACGACCAAATGTGGTACCTCCCGCCAGGTCCAGGCCTATTCCAGAACATGGGAGAGAATACCAACGTGACAATGACAGATCAGGGAGTTAACGTAGGAGGTGTCGATTTACTTGAGTTTATGGCTATGGATCCACCTTCATTCAATGGCCCTATGGATGGTCAAGGATACTAAATGTATCCTGTCTAGCTGGATGACGTTGGTCACCATTTGTTCAAGACGAAAGATAGGTGGCAATTCGCCCTCCTTAACAACGCCACAGCTGAAGATGATACGCGACGCGACATATGTTTAAAAGGTCTTACGACTCGGATAATATTTCTATCTCGTCTATTCTGTTCGTATCTCCTGGATGGAGGCTGTATGCCTCCCCAGACATGAGGTGAGGCTTACATGTACTCGAACATGGGTTTCAGTCTCGCGACACTCCGTTTTTCTTATTTGTTATTCGTCCTGAAAGGTACGTGGCAAGAGCTACGATGGACTAAAAGCGGAAGCAAAGATACCCTCGGAGGCTTGGGCTGTATTCGATTTCACATACGACCTTGCTCTCAGATTGCTTTTTCCCTGTCTTTCTTAGAGCGCTTCCTTTTACTATGAAATGTGCGGAGGAGTTGAAATATATGTTTGTTCAATCGCAGTTGCTTTACGGGAAATATCCATGGGATTTAAAGGGGCATTGCGGATGGACAAAAGCTGCTGGGCCGAGAGCCTCGCGGCTTATACCTGGCGTGATTTAACGAATCATGAGAAGACATTTCTGCGAGAAGTCGGACTGATACAAGGGATTCGATTGATATTAAGTATTGAGTAGCAAATCTACATTGTAAAGGCTAGTAACAGTTAGCTACCAAGGTTCATTCTCTGTGCTTTGACGCGACTTGATCCACTCTGCCTTAAATGAGGCTCTCCCATAGCATGGCCACGCTACCAAGAGGAAGGATGTTATGCGGAGCTCAAGTCCTAGACTAGGTACTCAATGATAGATCATGTAATAATATATATATAAATATTATATGAGATAGTTTGTCATCAAATATAAAGACCTTGGCAATAATGGTGAGATGCATAAAGACGCTACGCGTAGGGCTTATTTTTTTTTTCTTCTTTAAAATACGGCATTTATCTCCCCAGGTGGGACGCGTTAGGCCACTACGCTAAAGGGCGTCTGCTGACCGGGAAGTTCCGCTGACGCCAGAAGGGTTAGGTTTTTTTTTTTTCCCAATAATTCCCAAGACCTTTCTTCTCTGGATTCGCGAGTTCGACGATGGCGTCAGCATATTTTTCACGTCAGTTAGCAATGCCACACCACACAAAATTGTTTGGGTTTTATTAAGAGAATGTTGCAGGTAGAGATAATTAAATATGTGCTTTATCTACGTGAGAATGGTGTGAGTATTTGGTTGTTGTTGAACAGCCACTGTTGTGGATAAAAAGGGGGGAGGGTCAGTGGAGTTGTGTATACGCATGGTATGATGGTCTAATTCAGGAACCACATGCGATATTATACCAGCAGACTATATAGTTAGTAAATACTATTACTAACTACCCTATATGATTAAGAAGTACGGAATACCAGGAGATTGGAATTACTCCTCGCTAGATATTTCTATATATTCTTAACCCCAATAACAGCAAAGCTTTCCGATACGAGTACTGAAACGCGACAAGGATGCATAAGGCCAATGGGGGCGGACGAAGGACAGATGGGGAAGGTTTACAACGCTGGAGCTGAACCTTTGTCGATGGAGAATGGAGACTCTTTAGTACTAAATCCAAAAAGTTCATTGTGGGAACTCCCACGCGATGTCACCCTGGTGTCGCCTCAGTCAGCCTAGGATAGACTGAAGTGCCCCAGACGCACATACATAAATACATAGACTGGATTTTTTGGCAGGGCTGGGCTGGGCTAGCTGGGTTGGCTGGGCTGGCTCGGACAAGACAGGCTTAGACAACCCATAATATATTAATGCTACATCGACCGGTTCCTATGTGGATGCGGCGTCCCGATCCTTCTAAAAGCAAGGGCTTTTAGATCACCAGTCGCTCGCTGCCGGTCCCGAAGTTGCTTTTGATCTGTTTTTGCTCTGCTTCCTTCTGCAGCTATCGTATCGTCGTCTAACGGGCTTTCAACATTCCTGTAATTTGTCCGGAGTTGTAGTTGTAGTTGTTGCTATTGCTGCGTTGTCTTCGCTACTCACAAATCCCCTACGCCATGGCAGTCCAAACTACAACCGTTGCGAGCCTCCCATCTGGGACAGAATCAGGGACGACTTCGAACCCGACCACGGCGCCGTCAGTCTCCGTACTCACGCTTACGCAAAAGGAACTCACGACAACTTTCACTCCGCCAGCATCGTGTCGCGAGGTGCATCTTACGCAGTTGTCGTCACCGGGATATCAGCTTTGGCTCAACGAGCCGCAACCGGTGCCGAATTCGAAGATTGGAGATTGTTACCCGTCAGGGTATATTAATGGATATACTAGTGGTTAGTATGATGGTCTAATGCGGCTGTTTGCGACCTGTGATTCTGGGGTGTGCTAACGTGTTTTGTAGTATGTGATTAACCTGTTTTACTTGTTACGATGCTATGGATGAGTGGATGCTTTCTTGGCTGGAATAAGCATCGTGGAGACTCTAGGGAAAGTTATTAACATTTAGTAGATACAAAATGCCTCGAGTTCTATTGCTCCTATGTTCTCGCCGCTGGTCTGTCCCGAAAGTTGGAACACGGCGAGGACGTGGGAGAATGGATATATAGCTTGTTGCGCCTCGTAAGTGAAGATCTCTTATGCACTATACTATCATCTACGAGGGAAATGTATAATACACAATTATCATACGACGGGGTCTAACTATAACGACAGTGGTTTTCAGCTTCATCTTCCCGACAACCCGGTAGACACCAACCGGCCAGCGTACGGAGGTACCTGCTATAGTAATTTTCAAGTCGGCCAGACTGCTACGGTCACGGCGTATGATAACGCGAGTGTTACGGCGACGGTCGAATGGGTCGCTTCGGCTACTAACGACCAGGCTTATGCGCATCCTATAGACGGCTTTTCATTAAGTACGGACGACGTAAGTTCTTAAGACAAATACTCTTTTATCAAAATATAGATATGATAGATACTAAACGTGGAATCTAGTCAAACTCTACTGGACTCTCAGGTGGTGCAATTGCAGGCATCGTAATAGGCGTCCTAGCAGTCGTCATCGCTATCCTCGTTGGCCTATTATTCTTCTTAAGACGATATCGCCAGAAGAGAAAGCAGGAAGTACCCTTCGACGGATCCCAGCAAGTTCAACAAGAAGTTCCCCAAGAACAATACAGCAATAAGGAACCCTTGGTCTCCCCCAGCACCGGGTACGCACAATCACCATATACCGCCTCCACCGGAATTTATGAGGGCCCAACGCCTGCTTACAAGCCTACGGAACATTACGAACTTGATTCTCAAACGCCGAATGAGCTTGACTCTGGATGGGCGGGAGGCGAGCTGGAAAATCGGGAGGTGCCGGCGTATAGACGGAATTAAGGCGGTATTGTATAATAGAGCGGAGGAAATATCAACAGACGAAGACGGGGTATTTATACCATTACGACGCACTATTTGAAAATTCCTATTTTTTTATGCGTTGGGATTGGGTTGGAGAGTTACAATTTGAGCGAACATACGAAACTTACTACATACCGAGATCCTACGTTTCTCATACCACGCCCCGTACTTTCTACGTACCAGTGGCTAGCTTTACGAACGAATACCCCATAGCAGTTTTAAATAATACAGGTCATTAGGTATACATACCAAATCTACCTAATATTTTATATTTTATATTTTATATACCTAATCTTTCCGTCCTCGTTAGTTTATACCTAAGGTAGGTAGCTGGGAGAGTGTCAGACTGAAGTCCAAAACTTCATCATCAAATCTAAAAGTCGTGTGTTCAATCCACACTCACTGCATCATGAACAGACCAAGATTAGTCAAGTTACTTTTGGGGAGTTTATTTCTTTTTTTTCTGGAGTATTTTATTCTCTCCTTACTCGTTTACTTTATAGTGTCTTAAAAGGTTGACGTTTAGCTAGACGGGTGATTATCTCATGTCCTAGGTACCTACCTACCTACTTAGTTAGGTATTTACTGTATGAAGACCTGAAGCATCGTTATTATATATCATAAATACTATAATACTATATACTATTAATATATTATATATTGTTTCATCACTATAGAAGCTTATTACGCACCAACTGCCTATGCCTTCCGGGTATTGGTTATATCATAAAAGCATAAGACAAAAATGAGAATGAGACATAAAGGCTCGTGCTAAATACATAGGAGGTATATATATGGGTATCAATCAAGGTGAGCAGCATGTCTAAGGCTTCCAGCCTCCTGTTCGGTTTCGGAAGAAACCATCAGGATCTACACTCTCCGATACCGAGTGTGCGAATGCTCGGTTCTCTGGACGTAGTCGTGCGAAGTAGTCCTGCTGATGGAAACCGTAGTTCATGAACACGGGGAGGTAGATGTCGGGCAGGGTCCCGTCTTGTTGCCAGCCGAGTATGCGTTCGCGTACACCGCCGTACTATAGCTTCGTGTTAGTAAGTTGCTTTTATAAATCAAAGTTCAAGAAGGGGACATATGATTTCCCTGTATACTCACAGTATTCTGTAGCTTCTGATCCATCTTCGCATAGTCACTCTGCGGTAAGAAGCTATAGTTCATCTCGATAATCAGGCGGTGCGCCTCATCATCCGCATCAATTAAATCCACGCTCCTTGCCTTTGCGGCCTGTGCGATGGCCTTAGGGAAGGGCTGGTACGCGATAGAAGCGATGATACCAGGCTCGAGAAGCACCGTGTCGGTGATGTTTCGCCAATGGGCGTGAAGGCCTTCCATGACTTTCACGTTATTTTCAGCCGACGGCATGGGGATTGTCTCTGTTCCAATCTGCACGACGGATAGTGGGACAATAACCCAGTTGCTGCCGCCCATCAGATCGGCGTAGGTTTGCACCTTGGTGGTATCGAGGAGAGGCCCGGCATCAGTAAAGTTCTTAAAGGTTCCCTCGGGGACTACGGGGCCATCGTAGAAGAGGAACAGGATCCAGGTGTCGATGAGATCGATGTTGCCACGCTCCGCTGTGACAATGACGGCAGCCTTGTTGTCCTGGTTATACTCAGTGAAGTCCCGCACGGCCTTCAACAACTTCTTGTCTGTTTCAGGGCTATGAAGGAATACCAGGTTACCGCCGAAGACGTTACCTTGACGGTATAGTTGGAGGACGTATGTAGTCACGATACCAAAGTTGTTACCACCGCCCTTGAGAGCCTTGAACAGGTCTGCGTTATTGGTAGCAGATGCGGTTGTGATGGTACCGTTGGCGAGAACGATCTCGTATTCAAGTACGGAGGAAGCACTCCAGCCATACTGAGCCGACATATACGACAGACCACCGCCGAGAACAAGGCCGCCTACGCCTGTGTTGCCGATACGACCACCGACAAAGGTCCACCCGGTTCCCTGAAGTTCAGCGGAGATGCTGTCTAACCTCTGTCCAGGACCAACTCTAGCTATACCCGTCTCTTGATCCACGATGACCTGCGTAAGCTTCTGGGTTGAGATAAGGGGACCACCTTTGACGCTCGACCAGCCATTATTAGGATTATGTCCGCCAGACTTAATAGCAAACGGCTCCGTGTTATTATTGAGGACCTTCACGATGGCAGATACCTCGTTGGCATCCTTGGGGAAAAGAATACAAGAAGGCTTCAGGGCAGAGCATGAAGTAGACCAATACTCGTTTTGCTCCTTGATATATGATAGCTCAAGAGGATCAGCAACGTCAATGTTAGAAATATCCTTCAGGGTGGAGCAGGTGTCAGCGAGAGCTAGCCCTGACAGGGCGATAGCCGAGGCGGCAAGTATCCAGGTAGATACCATCTTGTCTTCTAGGAGAGACTCCGGACGATGGCTATATTTCTCTATGTCCCTCGGGACTGGCTAGTCGTGGATAGATGCTAAGGGACTGGTAGTCTACCGTAAAGTCTCGTAACTGGCGGCCGGTTCCCCCCCTAATATATATACAAGACATTTTCCACCGCCCAGCTACGAAGGAATATATTACTTGGTCGACTACAGGACATAGCCGAGGAATATCACCGATGAAGAACCAGGTTTAAAATTTCACGTCACGTAGCTCTCATCTCCAGATTTGGTTCAATGTCAGGGCCCGCCAGCAAGGATGACGGCACCAGCGCAAGGTTTCCAAATTTAAGTCACGTAGAAATGAACCTTCAACCTTACTTGACTGACTATAGTCACGTTAGCTTATCTGCTTCAGACACGTCTTTCAGCCTGCATGAGTTCTATAGTATCGGGTAGTATTAGTTGTGCGTAGACGAGAAAAAACACCCAATAATAAAATCCTACACGGTCTAGTAAGACGCAGCCTATGGTGCAGAGCCAATAACTAGACGAGAGTCGGATGCCGGGCATCCGGAAGCGAGAGCCGTCAGATGAGGAAAATGCAACGCTTGTGGTTCTGGTTCCTGGGGCGGGCGGGTAGTGATTACACTATGTTAGGTACCTAAGGTATGACTATGTGTCGATTTCAAGGAAGCGAGCGAGAGTTAGACTAGGAAAAGAAAGGTTGAGGTTTATAGTCGCATGTTTTCCAAGTTGCGCTAGGGCTAACGAGGACTACGGCTTGCATATATAATGAAGAACTAAAATTAAATCTTTTTCCTATCTAACTAACCGTTGAATATAACCGGCCGTGGCCTGTTGGATATCCGTCCCACTTCAGGCAAACGTTTTTGAAGAACACATCAGCTACCGGGCTACACCCACCCACCAGACTCACGCTAGCTGCCCTGCCAAGATCGAGGCTTACGGATGTGATTTCAGCCCGTTCTGGCGGGACGAGGGGGGGAAGAGAGGGGAGGGGGGCTCGATTTCAATAGTTTCCGCCTCATGACCGGGACGGATGCAGGTGCCAAGACTGTATGATCGTCATAGTTTTGCGAGTATACTAGAGTGAGCTACGTTTCCTAACATAGAGAACAATGCACAACTGACTTCATGTCGGTATGCGGAACTATAATATGTATGTCTTAAGATCTAGGTAGGTATGGGCTGGCACACACGATTATGGCGTTAATAAGATATATCACGTCACACGACAGTTTCGCTTGGAAAGTCATTTTACTACTAGGTATGTATGAAATGGCGATGGCGATGGCTCGAGCGGGATAAGCGTGTAAGCAGAGCCGCGGGTTTGTGGTTCTGCAGGATTGCGGGATCAAAAAGGTACCGTGTCACGCATACTAGACTTATTCCTACATATCGGTTACGCTTACCGCTGCCGTATAGGTTAGATTATTTCTCTAAGCATGCCTAGGTACTTGGGTCAGGTTAGGAGTTTCTCTGTTCTGTGACTTATACTTATACAAAAGAGATAATGCCCTAATAATATAGAGAAAGTATATGTTTCTTATAATTAACTAACTAACTAGGTAGTTAATAACTACTTAGTTAAGTTAATTAATTAATCTATAAGATAACTTAGACTTTAGCGATCAACGTTGAAAAGGGCAATAAAATATAACCTACACCGCAAAAAGCTATAGGACTTAATAGACTAGCCTCTGAACCTCGGGTCTCTATTCCGGCCTTATGGATCAGATGAACTAGGGTAAATGGTCCACTATCTCCGTAGGGAACGAATACCTGCATACTATTAGTCATTTGACCCCGATCGTGTAGGCGGCCCCATAACTTTTCATCTGATGTTTAGATTTTATCTGCACATAACATACACATAACATACTCGAGGTAGTATTCCTATTCCCCTTTCACTTCGTTGCTGACGTATACTCTCGTAGCGTTCCGATATGTATCGTACAATCTTACAACCTGCATGGAAATACGAAGACAACAGATGCATTAGCATTATGTCTCTTGATGTGCTTTAATCTTGATCTTGCATATTGCTCCGTATTTCTCCTGGGAGGGTTAATCATATCATATTAGAAAATGGAAATGGGTGTAAAGAACCATGCAGCTCATCGAAACTATGCAGCCACATCTCGTCCCTCGTGCGCCAGCCTATTATACCTACTCATAATATTCCGAGTCATGCCTCAGCGAATATGTCTCGAAGCCGAAAATTCCCTTTGACATGTCGTCGCGCCGAAGAGGGAAGTTACCTAAGCATATTTACATCACCCGGCATGTCGGTTTCAGAACGTCATCTTTAATAGGTCTGTCGTGGGGTAAATGGTACCGTGGTATTGGGGTTGTTGTCGCTGCTTGATTACGCATGGCCCAATACCACATAGATCAAGAAACTGGTGTATGTTTTACATCCCTCTCGTTTGAGTGCTTACAATGACGAGATGAAGTGAGGCTTCTATTCGATGAAGCAGTGCCGGCTTATAGATCTACCGCTAAATAAGATTAGACAGTTCATAGGTATGTATAGATAGTCTCCAACTCACAAATTTGGTTGAGGATGAGTTAAAGGTAAGGCGCGTCAGCGTTGCATTATGGTGATGACTATGACAGGTTGGTGATAGCTTGAAGGTGCTGTCATAACTCATATATCACTTATTGATGAGACTGAACATGCTAAGAGATAAGAATTTTGTAACATTGATAATCTCAGGTAATACCTAATTTTTCATTCAAAAGCTTACTCTCATTTGATAATTGTTTATATATTTAATATCCCATTTACTTTTAACTAAAAAGATAGTAGTGATACGGTATCGCACTTAATCTGACCGATAGTTCTGAGCTTCTGGCCATGAAGCATACAATAACAGTTGAGGTCTCCCCAGAAAAGATTAATTTTTTGACTCTGTTTAGTCAAGTCATGAGTTGACCAAATACCTCAAATATTAGGTAATTAATTATGATTATAGACTATTGATATTAAACTCTTCAAGGTAGTTTTACAGTGAGCTATTTCATATATGTATCATTCATATAACATATTTTATTAATTTGCTATAATGAATATGATAACGCCAGATAACGTTCGATAATCGTAACTAGAACACAATGGCCTCGTATATACGATAGAATTTGAGATCGCTTAAAAATCCGAATTTAGGTCGTATTTAATTTCAAGCCAGAGACTAAACTGAAAGATGGGAAGGTAATAATATAAGTCTATTATCACCTAACCGGCGGGGCCTTTAGACCCTTTATGCATATTAGAGCCTCACAAACAAGCTGCTAACCAACAGTAATTTATAGATGTCCCATAGCTTCTTATATAATTGTTGTTTCGCGGTTAGGTATAATCTTGAGTTGCTTTATATATCTCATCACACATTTTTATCAATTAAAGCCTATAAAGTAACTCGAGGTTTTAATAAAGCTTTTACTTTATTCCTCTGCCATTCTCGTTTAAGAGTCTCATCCAAAAACGTATAGCCCCTCATCTCACCTGGGTACTCTTTTACACAATCCTCCGTTTCAATCATCAATATAAGGAGTCAACCCCAGATCTTGGCCTCCCCCCTAATTTCTCAAATTCCCAAGAAGAGGCAAAAACCATAACGACGACATACAAACATCACACCTCGGTGAGGAATAACAACACCGTCTGCCTTCCCGATTAGGCAGGTCAAAGCATGTGCCAGCCTGTTTTAGGCTAGTCCAATAAGCTGTTTGCCTAAACACCATATTCACGTGAAATGACGTGCTTCGATACATGCAAAATCCATTTAATTTAAAGTCTTGTAGGCGCTTGTTATAATCAATAATGCGAGTTATGTCGTTGGTCAGGGGTAACCGACGACAAGCACTAAGTTGACGATATCTCGAGCTAAGCTAAGCTAAGTGTCAAAGCTGCATGATGGATGTCGACGCGGAAAAGAATGCGCAAGCTACGGCGACTGCATCCCATGGCATCGCCGACCACGGATATGTGGCGGAAGATAAGCTACGACGTTCGCTGTCCGCGCGCCAGGTTCAGATGATAGCTATCGGAGGTACCATCGGGACTGGTCTTTTTCTGGGGACGGGAAAAGCATTAGCGACCGGCGGACCGGCTTCGTTATTACTTAGTTATGCTATCGTGGGAGGCATCGTGTTCGTGACGATGTTGTGTCTTGGTGAGATGGCTGCTTTTGTTCCAGGTAAGAATATGCCGATAGTAACCGATCTCAGACTATTCTTATACTAACTTACCCCTTAAAGTGGCTGGCTCCTTTTGTTCCTTCTCGGCGCGTTATCTAGATGACGCCTGGGGTTTCGCTCTGACGTGGAATTATTGGTTTAACGATGCTGTGTCTACGGCTGCTGATCTAGTTGCCTTGCAGCTAATCCTCCAGTATTGGACCGATACCTTCCCGTGGTATGCTCTCGGCCTTATCATTTGGTTCTTACTCATCTTGGCCAATATTATAAACGTACGGGCCTATGGTGAAGTAGAGTACTGGCTGTGTCTTCTAAAGGTCATCACCATTGTCATATTCATCATCCTGAGCATCGCTGTAAACGTCGGCGGAAACACGACACACGAATATATCGGTGCGCGAAACTGGTATATTGGCGATGCTCCCTTCGTGGGAGGTATTGGTGGATTTGCTAGTGTCTTTGTAACCGCATCTTTTGCTTACGGCGGCACTGAGTCGATCGCTATCACTGCCGGTGAGACTAAGGACCCGGCTCGCCAGCTACCGCGCGTTGTTAAGAATGTCTTCTGGCGGATCCTGTTCTTTTATATCCTTGGTTCTCTGATGATCGGCCTTAATGTGCCGTATAACTATCCAGGCCTCAATTCTAAAAATACTCGTACATCTCCCTTCACTATCGCTTTTCAGCTAGCTGGGTCTAAAGTAGCAGGGTCCTTCGTCAACGTTGTTATCCTTACAAGTGTTATTTCGGCAGGAAATCATGCGCTTTTCGCTGGGTCTCGTCTATTATACACCTTATCTATTAATGGTCACGCGCCGAAGGTGTTTGGACGTTTGACTCGATTCCAGGTCCCTTGGGTATCTGTCCTCTTCACCTCGTTCATTTCCGGTCTGCTGTTTGGCGCATCTTTTATCGGTGCAGGCCAGCTGTGGACGTGGTTGCAAAACCTTGTTGGTGTCTCTAATCAGCTATCATGGATCAGCATTGGTGTCGCATCGCTACGGTTCCGTGCCGGCTTGAAAGCACAGGGAAAGGAGCATCTCTTGCCCTTCAAGAACTGGACATATCCGGCAGGACCAATCATTGCCATCGTACTAAACAGCTTTATCGTTCTCGTTCAGGGGTGGAGTTGTTTCAGCCCGACTTTTAACGCTGTTGATTTTGTTAGTTTTTACATCGAGTTACCCTTGTTTGCCTTGATGTTCGTCGCGTGGAAGTTGATTAAGAAGACGAAGTTCAAGAAGGCGAGCGAGATGGATCTAGTTACTGATGTGTATACGAAGGACGACGTAGAGCCGGAGGAGGAAGGATGGGGTGGAAGGGCTAAGAGAATTGGTGGTTGGTTCTGTTTTTAGTTGTGTTGCCCGGTTTAATTATGGATTGATTATCTGGTTATGTTACCTAGAGTTATAAGTTTCAATATACCCTCTCATATTCGTTTCTTATGTAAATTTCCGATACTTCCCGTACGGATGCCACATTATGTTGTGATACAAACCAACAACTATCTGCATTCTCTATCATTTATTATTTATCTGATAGATGTTAGATGCTTTATTAATATATGGAGATAATATCATAATTTTTGTAAAATAAATTCAACAAGGGTCCGGGTCATGTGTTAGTGAAAGAGCTCCGAAACCGAGGCCGAGGCCGAGACCGGGGAAATAAATTCAAATCGCCACTAATTCAAAGACTTCCATTATAAGCATTTAGAATAATTGGGGTTTCTTCAGATTTTTATTTTTATTTTTTTACGACTAAACACGATGTCGTATGGATCCGTAAGTGCGTCAGAGGGATCTACGAAGGATTCCGATACTCTCGTTCAATCATCGCAGGTTGGAGATGATGTTGAAAGTGGAAGCATGGCCCCGCGTGTTGGTGTTGATGTTGGTGAACAGAACCAGGACCAGGAAGAAGGTCTTGTAGAGCATAGCGATGAACAAAACCAAAATGCATGGCAGAAATTAAAGGAATTCTACGAAAGAAACATTGGTCTCTTCTTCGTATTCCTCGCCCAAGTTTTTGCATCGCTAGTACGTTAAAACAATCTTGCTCAAATTTAATTATGGATATTAACGACTGGAATAGATGACAATGACAACACGACTACTCGAGACGGGCTTTGAAACAAAGTTTCACGCCTTGCAGATTATTTTCGTACGCATGCTTGCAACGGCGATATTGGGTTCTCTGTACATGTGGTACAAGAAAGTTCCCGATTTTCCGCTTGGCCGTCGCGATATCCGGGGCCTCTTGGTGTTGCGGGTACGGTGGACTATTAGTCCAACTGTGCCAAAATCAAGAATGTCGGTCGCACTATATCTAATAAGGTAATAGTAACATTAAGATTACAGTATAAGCTCGACTATTTCTACTATATACACAATCTATAAGGTAATATATACCTTTTATATAGGGATAACTTTACTAATATACGTTCAAATTATTCGAAATTGGTATTGGTATTTTTATTAAAAAAAGACAAAAATTTCAACCTAGGTCTTATATAACTCGACCTTAAATTCGTAAAGATATTAAAAAATATAAGCATCATGAAATACATCATGAAATACATCATGAAATACATCATGAAATACATCATGACAAACTAGAAACAATAGCCAATCAGATCAAACCTTCACTTTAACCTTAAATATATACAAATACGTAAATATACAGGATACAACTTATACACTGTAATAACTTTACGAATATCCTATTTTAAAAATTATAATTGGTGTCATTTTATAGCTTCAATTAATGCGAAAATAATGATTCAGGTTGCATCTTTATATGTCTTTAAGCTGGAGTATTATATCAATATCAAATAGGTACTATGTAAAAAGACTAACACGTGATACCCTTCAAGACCACCACTTATAGATATCTAAGGTAGGTATTTCAACAACGGATAAATTATTCAATACGCATCTTATAAGCATGCAAGTAGGATCATTATTTTCGCATCAATTAAATCTATAAAATGATACCAATCATAGTACTAGAAATGTGATATTTATAAAGTTATTTAAGTATATTGTCCAAGACGAAGTCCGTTATATTATGAGGTACGGTAATAAAATTAATAAAATAAATAAAATAATAAAAAATCTTATATCTCAGGTATTTCGGGATACTGTGCACTAGCGTTGCTTATTAAACTACCCTTTTTGGACAGCTCCCACCCATTTTCTTGATTTTGGCACAGTTGGACTAATAGTCCACCGTAGCGGGGGTTGGCTGGCTTCACGGGCCTTTTCTGCTCTTACTGTAAGTTTAATCTACCTCTATATGCATACATTGATGAAACGGTCGGAGCTGACATCTGTTACAAGACTCGCTATCGTATTTAAACATATCAGACGCTACAGTGATTTCCTTCCTGGTACCAACTATGACCGCCTTCGTATGTTTTATAGCTCTGAGAGTAAGTATAGCGTGCACCCGAAGTTTTATTTTTAATAGATATTGTTTTAACCTGTTCTAACCTGTTAGGAACCATTTACGGTGAAAGAGGCTATAGCGGGTTTGATCGCATTCGCTGGTGTGCTCTTCATCGCCCGACCGACGTTTCTCTTTCCACAGCATGGATCACATGAGCCGGAGCTCAACGGGACGAGGCTATTTATGGTAGACCAGCCCAAGGGCATAGTCCCCTCTGTACCTGCAACACCGGCTGAACGCTCCATCGCCGCGCTCTTGGCCGTCATCGGAACATTTGGCGCCGCTACTGCGTACTCTACCATTCGAGTTATTGGGAAGCGCGCGCACTCGCTTGTGAGTGTCAACTACTTTGCTGTCCTTGCGACTGTTGGATCGTTCGTTATTATCCTCGTTGTTCCGGATTTGCACTTTGAGATCCCTCAGAATGTTACGCAATGGTAAGATATACCTTTCGTTTTTTGATTTACTAAACAGTCACGACTAACATTATGTAGGACTTTGCTAGTAGCCATAGGTATCGCCGGGTTTTTGCTACAGTTTCTCCTGACGGAGGGTCTGCAGAGGGAGAAGGCGGGTAGAGCGACGAATCTCATAGTAAGTTATTGTTATGCAAAGCATATATGAGAGTTAGAACTAACCAGGGAATCCAGTATACGCAAATGGTTTTTGCGCTCATCCTCGAGAGAGTGATCTGGGGAACTACACCTCCTGTCGAGAGTCTCTTTGGTAGTACGTTAATTATCGGGTCTGCTATATGGGTTAGTCTACAGAAGAGTAAGACGACCACCAAGCAGAAAGCTCTGGTTGCCGACGAAGAGCGGAGCCTTTTAGGGGATGATGCTCCTACAGAGAGTCGTGAGGACTAATAAAATGTTATGTATTTGTATAATAATAACCATGGTGTTCTATGTAATCGACAGGCATCTCGTGTACAATGTGGGGAGTCTCCATCTCTGCTGCTCGGTCCGTGATATTAGCTGGTAATTGCCACGTCGTCGGCGCTAGCTCGTACGGCATATGCTGCGAATACCCAACGGGTGGTTTAAATTCGTTAGCATCTACGACGTTCATGGTATTATGAACGATTGGCTTGTCTTTGATTAGAGATAAACCACATAGCGAAACCCCTTTACCATGTTTCCTATATCTCCACATGACGAAACATACGAAACTCAACAACATCAATCCAATTACTCCACCCACAGTTGCGCCAGCGATTGTACCTACCATGGAATTATATCCTAACGCTAGATTATTAAAGACTAAAACGCCCGAGGATGTATTGGAGGATGTATTGCTATCCGGCTCCGGGAGCGGCGTCCAATGTCCATTCCATGATGTGACCCAGTCGTTCTTACTAGCCTCTAAAGTCCGGCAATCACTATCCATGGCCATTACGTTCTCACTATTGAGATTGGGTCCAGGTGCTTGTGACAGGAAGTACACCGCGGTTTGAAAGTTCGCGCCGATGAAGGTATCTTGTAAGAACGCGCGGCCGAGGGCATATGCGCCGTTCGACGCTGCGTTACAAGGGAAATAGGGAGTTGGTTTGTCGACGAGGGGTTGGTCGAGAGTTAGGTTTAGGTGCGTGAATGGTACCGAGATGTTGACTTTGCGTAAGTTGCTGTCCGGGTCTACGAATGTAAATGTTAGGACGGAGGGTGATTGCACGATCCGTGTGTAGTCTGGTGATTTCGTGTCCCAGAGGTAAAGGCCAAGTCCGTCGTCAAGTTTCACCGGGATCTCGGCGGCGATGGCGTCGCATGTACTTTTGGGTAAGTTTAGATATGGAAGACAGGGGTCGATGATGACGCCGAGTTGGTTGCCTATGGAAGAATTTCCTGATGCTAGTAGGCCTCCTTTCGAGGTCCAGGGAAATGGTGAACCCCCTTTGACTACGTTGATCGAGATATCTACGAGGGGCGCGTTTGAAAATGCGATAAACGGGTCAGGTATAGGAAGAGATAGCATGTCGTTAACGGCCCTGTTCCTATCATATCCGCCTAGCCAGAGCGATCCTGAGACCCGATTGGGAGCAGCTGAGCCGATATGCATTCCGAAAGTCTGAGAGGCGATGGCGTGGTTCGTGAATAGAGTCCCAGCAAGCAGACTCGTATTGACGGCGCCGGCAACCTGCCCTGGTATTATTTCGAATGTATGGTTAATAACTACACACCACGTATTAGCGAAATGTCAAGGGGACATGTTTGGATATCTCCTTATAAGATCAGTAGCTAAGGGGCACGAGTTAACGGCATCATACATACTATTAGGTGCAGCACCGAGGCTAAGACACCCCGCGAATAAGGGGTACTCGTTCCCATTAGGATATCGAAGCTGAGTATCACTCATGAGAGCCATGGCAAAGTTATCAACGCTAACTGGACTCCAATGGCTCGAATCCTTTCCCAGGGAAATGCGGTCGGTATACCGCTTTGCATCAGTCCCTACAGCATCCATGTCAGACGCGTAGTATGCGCTGGCGCTGAAATCGATATTTGGTACGTCTCCGGTGCCTACCGACTCGTCGTAGATAGCGCCGGCTTGTTTCGCGTAGCATGGTTGGCCCGCAGTTGTGGTATTTCCGCAGTAAGTTGCGCCAGGGAAATAGGATTCCCACATCCTCCCGGCATATACGGTGACATCTTGCTCGCTTCCTAGTGTTACTTCTACTGCGTTCCAAGGCCCGTCCGGCCCGAGTGTCTTGTCCGACCACCGCATTGCTCTGGGTACCTCCATTGGACCACTTTGCTAACGACGAGGTCGGCGGGATAAAAGTTGTCGGTATGGCGCTTTCATTGGCATCTTCTGGTTGCTTGAACTTTAGGGTTAGAGATCAAGATTCCAGTAAGGAGATTTCTAAAGGTAGGTAGGTAGGTAAGTAGTATACCATATGACAACTACTAGAGGAAAGGCGTCAAGCGAAGATAATGAGAAATCTTAGTCTAATTTCATTTTCTGCTGTATTAAATCCTATATTACAATATAGGAGCCCCGTAGTTCTCCAGGTCTTAGGGGTCAGCTATATATGGTAGGATTTGCACTAATCAAGTAGTCAAGCTAAGTCTTGAAGAGTGTGGGCTAAAGAGGAATATATCATTCTCCTATTCCTAATTTCATAGAGTATCATGCATGATTTGTCTTTGGTGTTCATAGTGCACCCCAGACATGGTTCTCAGCTTGACCCCTGGGATTGTATCACGGCATTATACTAAACATATATTATAGATTAAGGAGCTGTGTAAGTACCTAAGGTATGGCGATTTCATTTCTTCGGTAGACATGGTTGCACTACCGCCCCCAATAATATACTCCTGAAACCGTGAAGGATTATCACGGCGTCGAGTGCATCTCGGATCTGTAGCCGCAACTGGCTTACATATCTCATATATATTCCTTTATTTTTAGCGAAGTTAAATTTCAATATTTAAAGCACTCTCCTACGCTTCACATTTCTATATGGGGGATTTAGTTGGGTTGCACTGGGGGAACATTATGAAATGATAGGTCACATATACCCCTTAATAATCCGAGTCACCGTAGAATAGGTATCTACCTCTTAGGTAGCCTATAGCAGATCAATAGACTTAAAACGTTATCATCATCATCATCATCATCAGCCGTCTTAGCCTTGGTGTTTCTTGCTTTCACGGAGGTATTACCTACTCGTCTTCCCTGTTGGTGTGAAAAGGGATGAGAGCGCAAGAATATAACTAGTATACCTAAATAAACATAAAATTATACTATTTTTCACAAGTCTATGTGTAAGTAAATGTTAGCGAAAAAAAAGGGTTATCATTAGATTTATTCAATTACCTAGGTAAGCATCCATTGTTTAACACAAATCCCCTTGTGTGATTCCCCTTAAGCCTCCACTAATGCCCGCTCAAAGGAGGGGGGGGCATCTCTCCAACTGGATATCCGATAATAGGAACCAAAACATTATGCGGTGCTACTAGATAGCTGCAACCAACCATCTACGCATACAGGTTGAGCTCACTTAATATTTATGCAAGAAACTGTAGATCTCAACAGTCAGATGCGGCTCGACGTCAGTTGATGGTCTTGAGGGGAAACGCATTGATGCCTAATGTAGACAAGTTTAAACTATATTGCTGCTACTAAACAGAACCGATGGAAGCGTTAGAAGTTATTTTTGAAGTTTTATGTTCATCTAAAAATGGCTGCGACCGAGTCATCTTATTCAACACCTAAGTGGTGGAAAGAAGCTGGTATGTCAACCGAATTATCTGACCCTTGAAAACCTAACTACCTAGGTAGCCTATTTCTGCTGCTTAAATCCATGTTATATCATAGAAATGTTATGCTAGTGAATGAAAACTGACTTTTGAGTTCCCAGTGGTCTATCAAATCTACCCAGCAAGCTTCCAGTGCCAGGTAGGTACATCTTGAGGCCGTTCCACCAGAATAGTATTAATTATGTATAATCCCATGTGAAAAGCCTGGAGTGACCTCAGGATGGGGTACCGTAAAGGGTATTACTTCGCGGCTGGATTACCTCAAGTCCCTGGGTATTGATGTGGTCTGGTCATCACCTATCCTCAAATCTCCACAGGCAGACATGGGTTATGATATCGCCGACTACAAGCAGCTCGACGAGCGATATGGGACTCTGGAGGACATCGACGAGTTGATTACCGAGCTTAAGAAGCGCGATATGAAACTAATGATGGACCTGGTAGTGAATCATACTAGTAATGAGCATCCATGGTTTCTTGAGAGCCGCGCGGGCATCGATAGTCCAAAGCGCAGCTGGTACATATGGAAGAAGCCGAAGAGCATTGGTCCCGACGGCGTACCAGAGCCGCCTAATAATTGGGCACAGATCCTGGGTGAAGCTAATTCCGCCTGGACATATGACGAGAAAACTGGCGAATTCTATCTAAGTCTTTTCACTCCGGAGCAGCCAGACTTGAACTGGGAAAACCCTGAAGTTCGAGATGCTGTTTGGGATGTAATGCATTTTTGGAGTGCGTAGCATATTCATTTGCCCCCTTTGATCTCTGCCTTAAGATCGGAACCTGTACAATGCTAACCCTACTACAGTGACTCGAGGTGCATCTGGTTTTCGAATGGACGTCATTAATCTAATATCCAAAGCACCTGGCTTTCCCGATGCAGATATAGTATTGGATCCCGGGCATAGGTACCAGCCTGGGTCTAAATACTTCGTCAATGGACCGAGACTACACGAATTCCTACGAGAAATGTACCGGAAGGTGCTGAGTAAGTACGACACGATTACGGTCGGAGAGATGCCCGGAGTCAGCGACGAGAAGGAAGTCCTGCGAAGCGTCGGTGCCAATTCTGAGGAGTTAAGGATGATATTCATCTTTGATCTAGTCGATATCGACAAGCCGAACGTTAGGATGGCCCTTAAGCCCTGGGATGTCAAAGAGATGAAGTCGATTATCACAAGGTGGCAGCGGGTTATGATAGAGAACGACGGCTGGAACTCAGTGTTTATTGAAAATCACGACAATCCCAGATCAGTCTCACGGTATACTGATGACAGTGATGAGTGGCGAGAAAAGGGGGCAAAACTCCTTGCTCTCATGCAGACTACCCTCGGGGGTACACTTTTCGTCTACCAGGGCGAGGAGATCGGTATCCGTAACGCTCCTACGACCTGGGACATCTCTGAGTTTAAGGACATCGAGACCATCAACTACTGGAAGAAATGCGAAATGCTGTATGCAGGCGACAAAGAGAAACTCGCCTACGGCCGCAAAGTAATTGACATGAAGGCGCGTGACCATGCTAGAACTCCTATGCAGTGGACCGCAGGGGAGAACGCAGGGTTCTGTGACCCAGGTACTAAGCCGTGGATGCGAGTTATAGATGACTATCAAAAGATTAACGTCGAGGTTCAAATCAAAGCAGATGACCCCAACGAGTTTTCAGTCTGGCAGTTCTGGCAATGGGCTCTCAAACAGAGAAAAGATCATGCGGATGCTTTCGTGTACGGAGACTTCCAGGAGTTGTCTCCCGAGCACCCGGATGTCTTTGCATATGTTCGTGCAAGTGGTAAGGGGGATCGCTGGCTCGTCGTTCTTAATTTTTCTAAGAAAGAGCTTGAGTGGACATTACCCTCAGACTTCGAGGTCGAGTTGTGGGCTGCCGGTAATTATAGGAAAGGGGCTCCGGAGAAACCAAAGCAGTCAAGTTTGCCTTTGAAGCCTTGGGAGGGCGTATTGGGGAAGCTTAAATAACCCCTTAAGCCTCTTAAGCCATTAAAGCGAAAGGATATAATAACTCGCAAAGTAGGCAGGATCGAGATATACTTAGTTTACCTAGGTTAGGTTATGTACCTTTGGGAAAGAATAGTTATCTCTGTACTTTCCTAAGTTAGTGCCAATTTAGTCCATGTCGTTCCTTCTGTTATATAACAACTAAAGCAAACAAGCAGTCGCGTTCACTTATCTACATGTCACTTATCAAGTACAAGTAAGTGCATAGTAACGTGGTAGCAACCACCAAAAAGGTTATAAATTAAAATAATTATCGTAATCTTTAACAAGCTTGCAAAAGCTTCGAAGTTGGTCGAGTGGCTAGGTCGCGGCTACGTCCACTCGCCCAGAAGCGGCCATTACTTTCGGTGAAGATGAACGTCGGATGCAGGGTAGGGTTGACCTAAAAATCCCCTGTCTGTATCTTACTCAATCTGAAATCCGCAAGTTTGAACCCCTTCTGAAAAGACTTCGCGCGGCGAGGGTTCGATGCTAACGAGTGTTGAGCCTTTGCTGTATTTTTTTTTTCCTTTTTTTTTTTTTTGGTCTCTTCCTTACCTTTTCTCCTTTGCTTTCGACATTCTTTACAGGTAGTTGGATTTTAAACATGCAAATAATTATCTCGTGAGATTTGAACTTGTTGGTGTAACCCTTTGCTTGTACATTTGAATTCGAAGCTGAGCTAAACTGGAGTATATAATTGGACAACGCTAAGGCGGGACCTGTCGTGTCACTCCGGTTATGTTACAACAACCATTACCTATTTGTCAAATGAATGGAGTGCTTATTGTCGAGTAGAACCATATATTCTAACACATATCCTTTAGGATTATTATATATATATCTAAACATGAATATAGGCGAAGCTTGAGACTTGGGACAATTATTGGACATAATGTTGTACTTCACATAACTGGTAGTTAATCTTCATTATTGAACTATGGATGGCCTTGAAAAAAGCACTCCTACACTGAAAAGATATGGGTTAAGCTATAAGATAGTATATTAACTAGTTGTAGTTACTATTGTCTTCACAATTAGTGCTGAGGAGATGCTATGTTACCAAGCTCCAAACCTCCTAAAAGGGGTTCACTACATTTAGTCATCTAGGCCAGCCTTGGTAGGGTCCCATGCAATAGGGGCATATACGTCCGTATTCAACTTCTCAATATCCTCCTGGGATAAGTCAAAGTCGTAGATTGCGGCGTTCTCGATAATTCGGGAAGTTGTAGCGCTCTTGGGAAGCGGGAGATAACCTTTCTGTAAGCTCCATCGAATCAAGATCTGAGCTTGAGTCTTGCCATATTTCTCGGCGAGGCTAACTAGAGTCGGGTCGCCGAATCGTTCACCCCTGACGACGGGACAGTAGGCCTCGACGGCGATGTTGCGCTTCTTAGACCATTCGGCGATATCCTCACGACGGCACCATGGGTGAATCTCCCACTGGCCGACTGAGATGACACCTCCTTTGCCCTTACCGCCTCGTTCGGCTTCAAGCTCTGCAATGTGCTTTTCTAGTTCGTCGAGATGCTGGACTCCGTAGTTACTAACACCGATGGATCGGACTATACAGTGTCAGTAAGCTATACTAGTAATATTCCTAAAGATGAAAGACACCAAGAGAATAAACATACCCTTGCCCTCTTCAACAGCTTCTACGAGCGCTTTCCACACTCCTTTTCGGGCCGCTGAGCCACCGTACGGCGAATGGATGAGTATGAGATCGATGTAGTCCAGGCCCGCAGTTTTCAGACTTTTGTCGACTTGTGCCTTAGTGGCATCGTATGACATTAGATCTGGGGGAATCTTGGATGTAAAATAGATTTCAGACCGCGGCAGTCCGCTCGCCTTGATAGCTTTGCCACACCCTTCTTCATTGTGGTAAAAGACAGCGGAGTCGATGTGGCGGTAGCCAGCTTTAAGCGCATCGGCAACGGCCCTCTCGGTCTCTTCTGGCGGGCTGGAAGTCGGTGGTTAGATTAGACACAAATACCCTTTTATAAGTTTACCTAGACAACAATAGACTCACGTTAAGTATACCTAAGAGTTGTTAACTCGACCCGCCTATAGCAATGTGAAATTATAGAAGATTAAGCACTTACACCGAAGCCCAATAAGGGGATTTCATAGCCACTGTTTAACTTGAAAGCAGAATTGATAGTGTAAGAGCTCGCCATGGTTCTGCTAGGGGGGTAGCTGGTTAGCTTGATGTGGGGGTACCTGACTAAGGCCACGGCTGCGGGATGATAACATAGTCGAGGCCGGAAGCTTGTCTTAAGCAGGGCAGAATAAAAGTTGACCCGATGTAAACTCATGGCCGAGGTATAGTACAAATATGCTGGAAATAAAATGAGTACTTGCCTAGCTTTCTTCACCTGGGAAGAATACCGCTACTATTTTGGTTATAAGAGGTTATAAGCAGAGAGAACAGTCGCAACTCAGGCTGATCGATGGCAAACTCTGAGAGGTAGAAAGAGAGAGAGGTCAGTTTGAAAGGAAAAGCTCCAAGACCAGAGACTAAATAACGGGACGTCTATTTATACATCTATTTATACATAGTGTACTAATAGTTGCTACTAATTGATTATCAAGCGAGCCATACACCATTTAGGACCGAAGAGTCACCATCTTAGTCGGCTTTTGCTAGCTATCTCCGCTGTCTCCTCGACGAAGAATACTTTACTAGTATATCATATATCACCTTTTCCTCCGGGCAGCTTATGGAATAAGGTAAGGTAACGTCGACGGAGATAGTGACCGCATTTAATTGAGGTCATACTTAAATCCTAGCTGTTGCGATATTCAGCTTGGAAGCTTACGGAAATACTAACGGGTGATACTGACGGATCTAACGAGAACTACCAGAAGGAGTACCGTACATATCAGGTATCTCCTTGCGGTAAAGATGTGGTGGGGGATACCTCTGCTTAACTGGTTCGACGGGTTATATCCCACAAGGGTTCCCGTGCGCGCGGCTTTGCTTGGAAATGCTGATATTTACGATATAACCTAAGGTAGCATGGTCGAATATTTTACGTAAAAAAGAAACCCCGCTGCATATAGACTTTGTTATTGGAGATTAAGGGACAATTCTATCTACATATAGTTGACGGCTATAATACAATATTAACATAGTACATAAATGTAGTACAGATATAGGAGGTACATTATGTACATAGGTATCAACCCCTAATTTATATTGACGTCATTAGCCTTTAATAACTTTTTATGAGGTAGTACATGATGGCTGGTCTTGCTACTATTAACTTCTTAATAGGCGGGGTGGTGTTGTTATCTATAGGTTAATAACAGGTACATACTATCGCGTAGCGGGGATGAGCTAATGGTGGGGTGAGGGGCATTTCTTTCAATAGGTGGGTACCTGTTTTGCCCAAGTTTAGGTATGATGAAAGCTTCATTATACAACCGTTGTCCAATAGAACAATCCCTATGTACACATTAACAATCATTCGCAAGTCCTATCTGTTACATGTTTAAAACTACCTATTTAAAATAGATTCAGCTGTCGAATCTTAAATCTAAGCTATCTATATTCATTTAAATTTCTTATCTATCTTATACCTTCCGGTGCGCTCATATCTTAAGAAAATATAGTGGAGATTTATACCGATAAATAAACCGTCAGCTATGCAGCTTGTTGGATCAAAGGCGTCGCAACGCCTTGATGAGATAGGCGAGGGAAGCGTCACTCTACTCCCCGTAGAGCCAGAGGATATGGTAAGTCTACACCCTAATAAGATGATATACAATCTAACATGCCAAGTGGCACGCAAACAATCTAATAGGACCCCAAGATGTCGTCAAGGCGCATGCGATTAGAAAAGTGACGACAGAAACAAAGACCGGCAGTACAATTTCAGAGAGGGTACATACCGATCTCACGATACGAGTCACTTCGACCTTCTTCGACCCAGGCGCGTCGCAATTACATGTATCAGGCACTGTAATTGTCGAGAACAACTTTGTCAGCCTCGGACAGTACCACACGCTTGACCTCGAGCTGAACCGACCCTTCACCTTATGGAAAAACTACGGCTGGGATTCGGTAGCAAAAGAAACGCTCGCAGATGCGCTGAAACAGGACAAGGAGGGCGCCGTGGCGGCTGTTGTGATGCAGGAGGGCATCGCGAATATCTGCCTAATCACCGAATACCGCACTATACTCAAACAAAGGGTAGATAGCACGATACCTAAGAAGAGATCGAGTAGCTCAGAACAGGACTCGGGAATGAAGCGATTCTTTGAAAAGACCTTGAGCACCTTAATGCGCAGTATAGACTTCTCGATCCCTCGACCGCTACTACTTGCTAGTCCCGGGTTTGTCGCGAGTGATTTTAAAAAGTACATATCGGATGAAGGTGCCCGAAGGACTGACAAAACAATGATGGCTATGGCTAAAGAGGCGACGGTAGTACATTCAAGTTCTGGGCACCTACACAGCCTAAACGAAATACTCAAAAGCCCCGAGGTCACGGCAACTATGAAGGATATGAAGTTCTCCAAGGAGACGAGATTTATGGACGATTTCTATGACAAGTTACGAAAAGACGATGGCCGGGCCTGGTACGGTACGGCACCGGTTGAGAAGGCCGTCCGGGAGGGTGCCGTTGGTAGAGGAGGTGGTGTCTTATTGATCAATAATTCATTATTCCGAAGTATGGATATCGCAACAAGGAGAAGATATGTGGCCATGGTTGATAAAGTAAAAGAAGACGGAGGAGAGGCCAGGATACTTAGTAGTGATCATGAGAGCGGACAACGATTAGATGCTTTAGGAGGTATCGCTGCTATACTTACATACCCTATGCTAGATCTAGACGAAGACGACGAAGCAGATGCTGATGGAAATGCTGAGACGGAGGAGAACATGATAATATGAACTGTTCTACTCTACCTACCTCCCTAATTAAATTTCAATTACCATTTGAAGCAATATTTTGCTGTGTTTGCTACAATAATTAACTATTGTCTTCCATACGCGACCTTCTCATATAGTTTGTTTAAGCAATTAAGTGGATGATGTTATAGAAATTATATATTACGCGAATTTGGTTGGAGGCATGACATATAATGACGCACATAAGTCTCGAATTGAGAAGATGGGACGCATTAGAGGAAACTAAAATTAATTTAAGTATAAAGGAAAGTGGATTCTACGTCATTATGCGCCGTTTCCTTTCAATTCTAAACGCCTTATTATAATAACACGTTTGACTAGGATATCACTAACCAGACTGACCAGATTGGTAAGGCAGATACGGTGTTCGGCTCAAGAAAAAATACGGAAATCTATTAATTTGCGATTTCCGTTTTGATCAAAGCTACCTTAATGCGATCGTCTCTTCTCAACTCGCGCCACCCGCGGCATTCCATCTTTCTAGCCTAACAAGACAGCCTTAAATCACTCTACTATACCATACCATACCTACTTATATACGCAATTGTAATATAATATTTACGTTCCTTATAATTCACAAGACTAGCTAATTGGGATGGCTATTAGTTATTCCCATGTGTTTGGATGTATATTTGACTCTTGGTTACAATTGAGAGACATTTGAGCACTGAAATCTTTTAAGGCATTCCTTTTGACTGCGGATGTGACGGAGCAAAACATAGCAAGACATAGCAAGACAGACTACGCGCTACGATATTTTACAGCAAACCAGAAAACACTAATCGCGAAATATTATCTAAGCTAACTATCTATCTTGCGACTATATATTATATATATACGCGACGAGAGCGCCATTGCGCCCAAGCGAAAGACCAAATTTGGTCCCTATTCCCAGGTGACTGCGGTCGTGGCAAGATAATGGAATATGTCGACCTCTTCACCGGCCACCGAGGTCGCGCGCCCTCACCAAGACGATCTCACCGCTACCCATATTAATACGAAATCGAACCACAATGGATTGGACTCACTTCATGATCTGGGCCGGTCGCCTACTATCTCTGATGATCCGAGTACGTTTACGGGTCAACACCTCATACCACTCCTTGATTCATTTTATAAACGTCCTAGCAATTCTATATTAGAAGCTGTTTCGCTAACTCTCCATCTTAAACAAGGTACCAGCACATTGCTTAAAGGTTCCGGAAAGAGAAGTACAAATAAACTTACACGGAAGGATACGGGGGGAAAGGATATAAAAGATAGAAAGGACGCAGATCCCGGAGCGCGGACCAGCGCGCAACTTACACCCTCGCCGGCACTCGATCCATTATCTCACGTATGTTTTATGTCCTAGTTTCCCGACAATGGGAGCTGACTCGTTTATCCTAGCATATATTTGCAAGGACAAATACCGAACGATCTATCGCTTCGAGGTTTCGCAACCCCGGACGGCCTGATAGTCCTGCTAATGAGGCGCTACCTCGTCTTTCTTCCGATGTGTCTACCAAACAAGTGACCCCTCAGCTCGATCACGTTAAGGATAGAAGGTATGTTTATAAGGCTAGCTAGGCGAAGAGTGTTATCATGAACTGACAAGCTCTTCAAAAATAGGAAGGGTGGTTTCCTTAGTCGCCTTAGCATGATCGGCGGCAAGAAGAAAGACGATGGTATCCACGACGATGAATCCGAAATCAGCGAAATGAGGACTGAGGGCGCGAATGCTGTCGCTTTTTCTTCTACTGTTGGCGCCGGCGGTTATATCCCTCACCATAAAGAACCACCGCGATATATCAGGGTTAGAGCACAGAATAAGAAGCTTAAGGAGTTCAACCGCATGTTTCTCGCGCAGGAGCTTGTGGGGACGCAACAGCCGATTCAGGATGGCCAGGCAGGCACCGACAACGGAGCCGCAGCAGTACGGGAGCCCAACAAGGATGAACTAGGACCAGGAGGCCCAATCTGGGCTGTTGAATTTAGCAGAGATGGAAAATACCTAGCCACCGGAGGTCGAGACCGGATTGTACGCATATGGGCAGTTATCGCAACGCAAGAAGATAGAAAAGTGGACGAAGAGGAAGAGAATGCTACCAGCGAGAAAGAGGAACGTCTAAGCGCGCCGGTATTCCACGCGAAACCAATTCGGGAATTTATTGGACATGCGAGCGACATCCTCGATCTTAGTTGGAGCAAGAACAACTTCCTCCTTTCTTCGTCGATGGATAAGACCGTTCGTCTATGGCATATAAGTAGACAGGAATGCCTGTGCACATTTAAACACAAGGACTTCGTTACATCTATAGCCTTCCATCCTCGGGACGACAGATTCTTCCTGGCAGGTTCTCTTGACTCTTACCTGCGGTTATGGAGCATTCCAGATAAAGCGGTTGCTTATTCGAGCCAGCTCTCCGATTTTATTACTGCTGTTGCATTCTCTCCCGACGGAAGAACTGCGATAGCAGGGTGCTCGAACGGATTTTGTATGTTTTATGAGACCGAGGGTCTCAAATATCATACACAAATTCACGTGCGGTCATCACGAGGCAAGAATGCCAAAGGGAGTAAAATCACGGGTATTGAAACGATGGCATTCCCTCCGGATGCTCCGGACGGTGTAGTGAAGGTTCTCATCACGTCAAATGATTCCCGGATCAGGATCTACAATATGGGCGACAAGAATCTTGATTTGAAGCTTAAGGGCCACACAAATGCGTGTAGCCAGATCAGAGCCACTTTTAGCGATGAGGGCAACTATATCATATGCGGAAGCGAGGATAAGAGGGCGTTTGTATGGTCTACTAGCTCAAAACTTGCCGAGAATAAGGAAAAGAGGCCTTGCGAATACTTCGAGGCGCATTCTGACATTGTTACTGGGGCCATCTTTGCTCCGACAGCGACCCGGCAATTATTGCAATCTTCTGGCGATCCTATATTTACGCTTTGTAATCCTCCTCCAGTAACATTGCTTAGCAAAGAAGAATCGGCTGTGACTCGGACTGTAGAGTCCCAAGATACGCAGTCTGAAGGCTCAGCCAAAATCAAAAAGCCCGAAGAGTCTCCCGTGTATATCGCACGCTCTGCTCACTACGATGGTAATATCGTCGTAACTACCGATCACGCAGGTCTAATCAAGGTCTTCCGCCAAGATTGTGCCTTCGTCAAGCGCCGCCATGATAATTGGGAGACTGGTTCGACGTTCTCTAGGAAACTCGGAAGAGATAGCTTGCTCGGACGAAGCGGTAGCATAGCTACGCGAATCAGTGCTAGTAGCCGAGATCCGCATTCTCGCCGAGGTTCACTTACGCAACCGCTTCAGGGTATATTCCAGGGCAACTCGGATAGAATCAATACATGGCGGCACGGCGTCGAAGGACATCCTGGTAGGCCTGTCTCCGTAACTATCTCAACCCCTGCGCGTAGCGAACGGTCTTTATCGCCGAGTAAAGCGGCTCGTACTCCTGCAAATACCACCCCAAATACAAGAAGACATCATTACACAAGTATGTCGGTTCCTAGTATGCCAGCAAGCCCTTCTGCTGGTAAATCAATAAATGGTATCACCGACCGTTCAAATTTGCAAGACTCACTAATACCACCAACACCGAGCTTCTCATTTCGGCCACTAGACGAGGAAGAAGACGAACTGCGTTTAGACCCTGCCGGCGCAAGCTATTCGTTCTGGAATCTTAACAGATGGCGAAACAGTAGCCAGGCTCGAGGCAATAGCATTCACCCTGATTCGGCGCATAATCGTTCTGTAAGCACCGGCCTAGCTTCTGACATAACGGTGGGCAAGGATAATCGACGGAAGAGCACGGCAGCAGATGCAGAAGAATCCGATAAAAACGACACGTCCGAAAAAGCTAATCGCCGCAAGAGTTTGCCGGCGGGAGCGATATTGTCACGGGCGCAGGAAGGCAACCATCTAGCTCCTCTCAAGCCCGCCGTTCCTCGACCTGACTCGTACGTCAGCCAAGTGAGCTCAGAATTAACCAGCGAGGACGGCGAAGACATGCAATGCCGTGCATGCGGCAGTCGAGAGTTTAGGATGAAGAAAATCGGAGGCAAGAAGAAGTTACTTTGTGGGAAATGTGGCCGGGCGGTTTGATTGATCTCCACGTTTCATTCTTACCACGGCTAGACGATGATGTACAGATATATATGAGATACCTATGTTAAAACTATTACACGGCTGTACGAAGAAGAACGGATTTGGGAATGATTGGCTGGTTGGTTGGTCGGTTGGTTTAGGTACATATACGCATGGTAATGGATGCTGGTTTTTTTTTCTATCAAAAGGGGGTTTTGGAGTTGCTAAAGAGGACTTTGGGCATTGGTATTGTGATATTGATCATTGGGGAGGAGATACCACGATCAACTTGAATACTGCTCTTTGATATATATTCAATTCATGAGGTTTCTCATTTTCCAACTTAATAGATCTGTATTCGTTTCTCACGTGTTTCTATAGTTTCTTTTTGAATCTAACCCCGACTTATTTGATCCTCACCATAACAGTGCAGTTTCGGCTACTCATTCTTAGGTACCCAAATCACATCCCTACCGGCCGTATAAGTCTTTTAGTCATTCAATACATTATCACATAACACACTTGGAATATTCACAACCTCCATTGACTTTAGAATGTGTCTAGCGTTCATTATTCAACTATTATGAGCTATCCACATAGCGAAAACAAAGGAAAATATGATATTCAAGAGTAATTAAGACAGGAACAGGTATCATTTCCAACCAACGCTCTTCCCTAGCAACCTCGTAAAAAAAAAAAGAAAGCGAAGCCAATCTGGGTCCTGGGGGTATCTCCGGGTATATCCACATCTGGAACTTCCTAATTACTACTTCGTTCTTGCTCCACTCCCGTCTCCATCCATATTGTACAAGATGTATCCAAAAGGAGTGACTATCACACTTCATACACCCTCTAGATCGTAATAGTGTTGCCACTTACGGCAGGAACAGTAGTG